TTATATTTGTGTGCACTATAATTCAAGAAAGTGTATATTTTCCTAAAACAATTTGCATTTGATAAACAGATGTGCAAATACTGTGCAACATAAAAAATTGCAACAACAATTTTATTCTCCAGGGCCCTTGCGTTCAAAAAAAATTGTTTAGGGGTTCTAAATAATTTTCCACATTGTTACATGCATGAGAGAAATGTAAGAATTGGCCCAGGTGGCAAGTGTAAATCTAGTGCAGCATTCTCAAGCTTCCAGTTTAACCCCCTCAGTGCCAGCATATTTCTTCTTTTCTAAAAAAACTGTGGCAAAAATGAGAATACCTTGGGGTATCTTTTTCCAAAAAAGGACCTGGTAATGAAAGGGTATTACAAGTTGGTATATAAATGGTTAAACCAGCTCAAAATACAAATGGACCAATCCTAGAGATACATTACCATAGACAATGCTGCTTATCATGTCATAGTTTGTCATTTAAAAAAAAAAAAAAAACAAAGCCTGGGGTTTGCTTGACTTGATTGAGGATACTGAAGCTGGGCCTTCCTGATTGAAAGAATTAAAATATAAATCAATCAAAAGGGCGGGCCGGTACCAATTTGGTTGGGGAGAAAAGGGCTACATGATGCTATATTAGCAGGAAATTAAGCAGGTCAGGACTTGCTGTAGCTTCTAATGCACAATGCAAGAACATTACAGTGGGTAGTGAAGCAATTTCATGAGAGGAGCCTCTACAACTGTGCAAGACTGAAAGTGTACAGCTTTGTCTAAAGTTAGATTATGCCCTTGCTATAGGTGTAGGCCATATACTGTATGTACCTCCCTAAGGCTGACTGAAAAACTCCCAGATAAGGCATCTTCCTCTCATGCCTTGTTGCTAGGATGTTGCTAAGATGCTCCCAACTGTAACTGTTAACCCCCACCATCTCCGGAGAAAGAGCTCCCCCCCTTTGATGGAGGGGATGAGCAGTAAAGGCAGAGGGTCTTAGCAATGTCCTAGTATCAAGGCAGGATAGGGAAATGATGGCAGTATTTTGTCAGATGTCAGGAGGTTTGTAAATTAACTACACCTATAGCAAGGGCATTATTAAAGTTTGGTCAAAGCTGCTCTTCTTGTTTTTATATACAGCCAGTCCCTAATCTGCATAGGCAGACTTGATAAAGGTGGACTAGCCCTTTAACATAAGCCAGTCAGAACTGTCACACCAATAAGCACATAAAAGAACAAAGTAGAAAGAGCTGAGGACTTGACTCCATATTTAAAGATGTTTGATGACTGGATGCTGCACCATGTTGCCCTTTCCCATCTTTTTATAAGGGCCACAGAATTGTTGCACCCGTGTTAGAATATTTTGGTAAAATCTTGTAGCCATTTAAGACTTTTTTTTTATTATTATTTTGTGATAATAAAATAGCATTAAAACTCCTACTTTATAATACAAAAGCAAATATACAGCAATTCCTGAAGGTTTATCTGCAAAGAGTAATTACGGCATATTGACAAAGAAATGACCCTGCTCCATTAGACCAACTATATCAACACGAAGTGCCCTGCAAAAGTATCCATAACCCCATCCTGTTCTCTGATTTCACTGAATAACACACTGACAATTTGTCCAGGTGACTTTTTCTTTTTAGGTAATGTTTTATGTTAAAAAAAAAAATGAAATGTACTGTTTGCATAAATATCAAATCCCCAAATTATTTAGTAGAACCTTGTTTTGTGGCAACAGCATCTTCAACAGCACCCTGTCAGCCATTTTAAATGAAGGGCCAAGTCACAAAAAAGTGATCTAATTGCTGGACAGTTATCTTAGTAATTTTCTCAAAAACTGGATTAGCAAAATGTTGCTCCGTTGCTACTCCCTCACAAGTGAAATTCTGCAGCTTTCTAGGCTTGTATGGGAGTAATTGCATTAGTGAAAGTTGTTTCCTTAGTATGTATGTTGTCACCTTTTAGGGCAGACAAGCAAGACAATGGGAGACATTTACCAATCATGTTGCAGCGCAAAGCAGTGCTAACAGGTGCAGTAAGATGCTTTGTGAATCAGATTAAAATGGGTCATAAGTTATGCCTTTGTTTATGAAATCTGTCTCATATTCAGTAATATGTCTTTACAAACTGTCACACTTGGCTGCTCAGGAATACAGACACACAGATCTGTAAAATCTGTTGCAGAGGCTTTGCTGAAAGAGATTCAGCCTGAGTTGTGACTAATCATTTTGCTAATTTGACGGCATATTACTTTTATTAGCCAGAAAACTCCCATTAGTTTCTCCATCTGATTTAAAGGAAACTTATCAGGAGCAAAGTGTAGGTGCTGCCATCAAAGACAAAGTCCTACAATTATATACATACAAATTGGCTCATTCGGATTAGTTGACAATTAACCAGAATTTTTTTTAGGTTGCTTAAACTGGGAAAAAAAACATACAAGTTAAATTTGTTTTGCTATAAAATTATCTATTCTATCAAAGGGGAGGGCCTTGTAACGTCACGATGCTCGCGGTCATTGGAACATCAAAGAATGCGAGATAAGTGAGATATATGGAACCATGTTTTGCATATTATGCTGAATATATTTGGTGCCATTCAGCACCTTTTTATGTGAGTGGCCATTAAAGTTTTAAATAAACAAAAGTTTTATTAAGATAAGACGTTTTTCATTTTTTTATATCAATCAGATGAGAAAAGGAGTAGTAAGAAGCGTGTGCAAAAGATGATCTGTTTATTTAGAAAGAAGATTCCTCATGGATCATCACCACCCCAGACTATTAAAGGGACACAAACACATTATGACCAAGCATTACATGTGAGGTCCAAATATTCAGGTGAGGGCACAATAGTGGTGTTTGGGGAAAGAGCACTGACTTTGGAATATTAAGATTTGCATGTTTTTATAGGAATACATATATAGGTTTGAGAAAAGAATATCTGAGTCACAACACTGAGGACTCACAAACTTTGACGCACTGGTATATTTTGTTGCTTTTTTGTATTTATTAACGTACTGTATGTGTAAGGTTTATGGAGTTTTGAGAAGCACAGCATTATTTTTATTTTATCTATTTCTATATTGAATATTACATTTCCAGCAATGACAGCCAAAGGGAGTTGATGATAGTCCTGTTGATAAATAAAATGACCATCATTTCAAATAACACAAGCTTTGTAAACTGAGCTTAACCAATCAATAGCATCACACATAGATGTAGCATGACAGAGGAAGGGGGCCACTTACTTCTGAGGCTAGATAGATGGATTCACCAGCATTTATGCTGCAAGTGAGCCGAAGCGACAGCTTCCATTCTCATACAAATGATCAAAGCTGTCAGGCTCTTGATCATATGATCATTGTGGGAGCCTGTGATTGGCTATCACAGTGATCAATCTGTAAAAACCTGGCCATGTACTCCATTTCTCTGAATAGAGAAAATATATTATATCTCTCCTAGTCAGAGAAGATGACTGTAAACTAAACATTAAATAAAAATAAGATAGAATAGCTAGATCAGAACTTGATCTAGGTTAGTGTCAGGTTCAAAGGTTAGCATTATGGTCAAAGGGGTCAGTATGTTTTAAGTAGGATTTAAAAAAAAAAAAAAAAGCATGAAAACATGAAACAAAATGCCCACTATTGTACTACAGGTACAAACAATATTGACTATACAAATATATGGTATCACCACAATCATCAACAGCAGTACAATTTACTGTATTCAGTTTTCTTCCGTTGTTTGGTGGTGGGTCATGGCAATGGCAATAAATATACATTTTACTTTAGCTTCAATGTCTTACTGAAAGGTAATTTTTTTTTCTCTGATGAAAAACTTTTTAAAAGACATGATTACGTTTTCTAACAGTACTTGCCTGTATTTTTCATCACACAACAGCAGTGCACTAACCTGATGCTTTTACACTTTACTGAACCTTACAGCACTCCAAGGGTGTACAGTTTTGTTGAGGGCAGTGCAAATCTCAGTCGGCATATTGCCTACAGTTTGGCTTAACAGGCAAGAGCAAGTGTATAGGTCAAGACCATTGCTTGTGTGGTTCTAGAAGCCCTAAAAGAAGCAGGCAAGGCACAGTAGGGTAGTGTTTGGGGTGTGCTCAGTGGCACCATGTGAATATAGGGCTCCTGAACACTTTACTTTTAGGCAAGGTGTACACTGGAAATTAAACACTGGACTCCCATACAAGTCTCTTCCTTCTTTTGTGCAGAATAATTTTAAAGGGAGAATTTAGACAACCTGACAACTAAACCAACAATGCTCCTGTAGGATAATGTTTTCTTCCCTTTTCCAAACCAGTAATTTTCTGCAAAAGACACACTGAGCTTTTTTTTACTACAAAATGTGCCTCTGCTAAATATGGGAATTCAATAAAGAGCACCATTTTAGTTCCTAATTTTTCGACATTTAACAAAGCATTTTAAAATCTTATACAGTAAAAAAACAGACTTGGCTAAGAGTATGAAAACTATTGCAAGGCACTGTATATCATAACAAATACAATCAGCGAGTAAAATATTTTATGAACTTGCATTTTATATATGCTTAAAGTGCAATAAAGTTGGCCACTGAAAGTAAAACTTGTATTCTTTAAAAAAAAAAAAAAAAGACACATCAGAATATTTTTCCATATATACATTTTTCTTGAACTTGCACACAGTAATGAGTACTGATACAATGTAAAAGCTGCTGTCAGTTAACATGTGTGCACAAACCACACTTAAAATTATCCGTGAACTATGTTTAAAGCAATAGTCAAGTGGCAAGTTACTTCAGTGCAAATGTAGCCGCCTTTCGTTAGGCCTGTCCATATATATAATGTACTCTCTTTTGTGGTCAGTTGTTCTACTGATGGGTCATTGTTCCACTTTAAAAATACCCATCCTGAATATGAAGATTATCCAGCTGAAGAGTAGATGTCACATCCACAGGCAACTAGAGATTAATAAAGAGTACGAAAAAGGCAACCGCTTTTAAAGTCTATTAAGATGTCAAAATCACTCCGTTGTACTCCTTGCCTCTTGAGGGTTTTCTTTACATGGTCTATAGTTAAAAAAAAAAAATAAAAAGGATATTACTTTCATATTTTTCAACAGTCTGTTGCTTAAACAAAGTATACTTTAAAACCCAACTTGTCTTTCCCTTTTATAATACCTTGCACAGCAAAACTTCTATTAGGGAAGAAATGACTAGCACTATGAGAACCAGTTCCTAATGCTCTGCCCAGTGCTATCAGTCTAACACTCAGAAGGAAAGACAAGAGTGAGCATAGTGACTACTTTTATTTATTTCCACTTTTGCATTCAAGCTGGGAAAATATCAACTTTGTTATTCACTTAGAAAAGCTTTAAAAAAAGTATTTAAAAATGGATTTCCTTTTTAAATGTGCTCTTCTGAAAACTACAGACTGAAAAATCTTACTTCGTTCTCCCTTGCTCTGCAATGTTTATGAAAGGGCAGGGGAGGTATCTGTACTGTACTGGCAAATTTTATTATCAGATGTTAATTAGATGTGCAGAACTATGTCCTAAACAGTAATGATCTCAAAACATTGAATGCTCTCCGTCTTGTCCCTCCTGTGTGTCCAATATCTCTACATTGCCATCTTTTTGAATAAATAGAAGCTGTACATACAGGCGTATGTACTGTATAATCCTTATTCAAAGAAACTAAAAAAGATATATATATATATAAAATTTATTTTTTCCCAAGGTATGCTGTGTGAATGGGAACACAAACATACAATACAGGCATACCTCGGTTTACGAATTTAATTTGTTTTGCGGGACTTTTCGTATAGCAAAAAATACAGAAGTGATGCAGTGCTACTCTGATAATATTGATAATACTATATAAACATAGAAATGAAAAAGTGTATAAAAGTGACACAATGTGCAATAAACCCATAAACCGTGACCTGATCCTCCAGGGATCTATAATAAGTGAACTGATCCTAAATGGATCCCAGGTGTACACAGTGAATGTTGAACCACTCAAATGTTGGTCATTTCAGATTTACCAATACTGATCGTATGGTATAATTGTGCATACATCCAAAGTTAGAATCCAAAGTGATGGTGTAAACAGATCAAGCAAACAAATATATGAACTTAGCCCAAATCGGACTAAATAGTGATACGTCCAAGATACAACTCAAGGAAAAGCATTGAAAGTGAAAAACGTGCATAAGAATAAAAAAAATCCAAATCCCCAAAAATATAAAAGTGTTTTCATACACAATGTATACGCAAATCAAACACAATCAATGCTATGAACAATGGGAACCTATATTATGCAAAACGCATGACTCCAAATAAAATGCTAGTGAAAAAAGTCCAAATTGTGGCACTACACCACTGTACTCGTGCACGTGGATGGTGTACTTGAGTAATCACATAAGGGTGTCCGTCAAAAGCCGAATTGGCCGCTCACCTTCTTGCTTCAACCCGCAAGGGGTCAAAACACTTTTTGGATCACTAACACAGATCCTCCATATATAGGATTCCTCTACTCCTGGATCTCTCTCCCCTCAATGATCTCACTTCCAGGGATGTACATATAAGTAGCAGAATCCTCACCAGGTAAACGCATATGGTAAGAGCCAATATCTCAAAAGACATAGATAGAACCTCCCATAGTGTAATACCTTTTATTAAACTTGATAAAAGTACAGAAATCCAAATATTGCACTCACATTTTGATCCTTCGAAAAACAGCATTTCAGAACTTCATGTTCTGGGGTGTATCTGCATGGGTATTCAATTTGGGTGCAGCAAGATGGCGTCCGCGCCGGAAGTGCGTCACCATGCCTTCCTCATTTAGGATCAGTTCACTTATTATAGATCCCTGGAGGATCAGGTTGTTTATGAGTTTGTTGCACATTGTGTCACTTTTATACACTTTTTCATTTATATATTTATTTATATAGTATTATCAATATTATCATCAGAGTAGCGCTGCATCACTTCCGTATTTTTATATCTTGAATCATTTGGGTATATGACTGGATGCTAGCAGCTTCCCTTATTTATTTAGACTAGATAAAGGTTTTTAGGTTTAAGCGCAGGAGGTTGCCATCATTAATTCATAAACCGAAACGCCGTTTCCCATAGGAATGCATTGAAAACCAATTAATCCGTTCCTGAGATCAGAAAAAAGTAAACGCTACTAAAATACCGCACAAGTTATTTTATAAAGTCATTAGTAGTGACAACCATGTGTTAATGTTTCAGCTGTCAGTGGGGAACCCGCTGACAGCTGAATGTAAAAGAATTGCCGGCAATTAAAAACGGTGTGGGGTCCCCCCTCCCATCCATACCAAGCCCTCCGCGTATGGATTTTGAGGGGAACTCCCATGGCAAAATTAAAAAAAAAAAAAAAAAAAAAAAAAATGGCGTGGGGGTCCCCCCCCCCCAAATCCATACCAGAGCCTTATCCGAGCATGCAGCCTGGCAGGTCAGGAGTGACCACATGCGTGATGTCCCCGGGTGGCCCCACCCCTTACCTATTTAAGAACTGTCAAACCACCAGAGCAGGCAGACGGTGGGAGCCATCGTCTGAAGCGGAGCCTTTTTTTTTTTTTTTTCAGGTCGGCGGCGGGCATCACAATGGACGTTGAATCTACTGCGGGGGACATTTTTACTTTTTTCTTTTAATAAAGGACTTGTCAAAGACCGTGCTCTGTCTTTTTTCACACTACACTTTTTGTTCTTTGTGAATGAGTATCAGGACCATGTACCCCATACTCCTTCACATGCGGGGGGCAGGTATCTGGGGGCCCCCTTGTAAAGGGAAGCTTACAAATTTCAATAAGCTCCCTGCCCGCAGACCCCCACAAGCATCGGCCAGGGTTGTGGGGAAGAGGCCCTTGTCCCCATCAAAGCACCCTCCATGTTGAGGGCATGTGGCCTGGTATGGTTCAGGAGGGGAGGGGGGGGGCCCCCCCCCCCCCTTTCTTGACCTGCTGGGCTGCATGCTTGTATAAGGGTCTGGTATGGATTTTTTTTTTTTTTTTTTTTTAATTTTGGCATGGGAGTTCCCCTCAAAATCCATACCAGACCCGAAGGGCTTGGTATGGATGGGAGGGGGGACCCCGCACCATTTTTTTAAAATGTATTATGGTGTCGGTTTTAAATTTATTTACCACATTTTTTTTTTTCTTCAGTATAGCTCAGAGATTCAGCTGTCACTTCCCCCCCCCCCCCCCAAGCTAAAAGAAACAAAGCTCCATTTAACTCCGGGGAAAGTAACGGCTAATTCTGTGAGCTATAGCAAAGAAAAAAATAAGCTAGCAATTGCATTTAAGAATCAACACCGACATACACTTCATAAGCGAAAACAATTCGTAAAATATTTGTAAACCAAGGCATTCTTTTCAATGGATTTTCATTCGTAAACCAAAAATTACGTTAACCGAGGAGTTTGTAAACCGAGGTACATCTGTATATTGGAAGATTCTCATATGTGATTACAAAGGTAACGTGAGAAACACACTAAGCTAACTATACTGCTGAACACCACTCAGGGTCAGCAAATTGGCAATGCCGTGTGATAGGGAAGGAGGATGAGGGTTGGGGTAGATTGCAAGATTACCTGAACTTTGGCAGGGAAGAGACAGTTCACGTTTGTTTGCGTAAAACAAAACTCCAGGCATTGTACATATTTACATAGTAATACCGATTCAGCTCGGGCCAATGTTACTATGTATATACCATACCTGGTCAATCCCCCTGGAAGCTGAAAATCACTATTAGTAGACACTGCTACTTCAGTAACCTCCACTTGCTGTTGTGACTCAGGCAGAGTGGTCAGTCTGATTCTCTCTCAACAGGAGTTTGGCCGCTCAGAACGGGCGCCATTCAAAGAATGCTTAACATTTTCTGAATGAACGCAAAGCGTTCTCTGATTGGACAAGGTGGAGCGGCAGGGTGGTCACACTTTGCCTTAAGCATTCTCTAAATGTCACCCATGCCAATCAGCAGAACCCCTGTGTTCACAATGCATGTGAATGGCCTCTCAGCACAGGACCTGGCAGCAAGTTGAGATCAATAAAGTAGCAGTCTCTATTTCAGTGATTTCCAGATTCCAGGGTCATTGGCCAAGCATTGTATAAACATAGTCCATGCTTTACTAATGTAAGTATGTAAAAATCTATAATTCCTGGAATGCATCTTTAACCACCTGCCTACCGGGCACTCATACCCCCTTCCTGCCCAGGCCAATTTTCAGCTTTCAGCTCTGTTGCACTTTGAATGACATTTGCTCGGTCATGCAACACTGTACCTGTATGAAATTTTAATAATTTTTTTTTTAAACACAGCTTTCTTTTGGTGGTATTTAATCACCACTGGGTGTTTTATTTTTTGAGATAAACAAAGTGTAAAAAAAAAAAAAAGTTTTTCTTTGTTTCTATTATAAAATTGTACACACAGGTAATTTTCTCCTACACTGATGAGACTGCACTGACAGGCAGCACTGATGGGCAAAGATAGGCGGCACTGATAGGCAGCACTAATGAGGTGGCACGGATAAGCAACACTGCTGGACACTGACGTCACTGACTGGCGGCTCTGCTGGGTACTGATCATCAGGGCCCGGATGATCAGAGCCGATCTGTTTTCTGACCATTGCTGGTTATCGGCAGTACTTTCCTCACGCTGTGACAGCATGAGGAAAGTGCAGCTGACAACCGGCAACTGCATTTACCCGGTGATTTGCTGTGTCATTGGACACAGCTGATCACATGGTAAAAGGCCACTGTGATTGGCCTTTTACCACATCATGTGATCAGCTGTGTCCGTACGACACAGCAATCACGGAGATCACCGGGGGCGCATTCTGGGAGGACGTCATATGATGCCTTTCCAGAACTGGACAACTGCGCTGTAGCGGTCATTCGGCTATAGCCTGGTTGTCAAGTGGTTTAAGGAGAAGTACAGGCAAAGCTCTTTTGGCTGTACTTCTCCTGTGGAACACAGGAGTGCAGTTAGTTCTGCACTCCTGTGACCCGTTTTCAGCTGTCAGCGGGCTGAAGTCACTCAGCTGGTCCAGGCTGGGGAAAGATCCCGACTTCAAAGTCAGGATCACCCCAGAGTCCGGAGCGCGGCACCTGGCTCAGCCTCTCAATGAGGTGTTGAGAGCCTAAGCCAACCGCTCCCTTCCCCTGCACAGTACAGCACTCCAGTGAGCGCAGGGGAGGGGGCAGAGCAGAGAGTGAATTCTCACAGCCGCTCTGAGCAGAGAGCACTGACTGTCACCACACTTCTCACGCTTAGAGCCGGAGGGGGACAGATGCAACATCAGACCAATGCTTCATCCACCTAGATAAGTATAACTGGGGGAAAAAAGCCCTACTTCTCCTTTAAAGTTAACCTTTAGCATGCCTTGTTCTAAAAAAATAAATCATATTTGTAAGAAACAGATGTCAAAATATTAATGACAGACAGTATGTAGTTTGTATGGAAAACCTAAAGTAAAATTTTATTTTGGTGTGTCTGTTGAAAAAAAAAAAAAAAAAAAAAAAAAACCTTGTTCCCACTTCACCCACCCCTAAGCCATTTGGTAGTTATCAAAACTTTCTAAGACTCTAATTTTCTAACGTGAACCTGATGCCAGTGTCACAGAAGCAAGAAGAAACAGACTGAGGGTTAACAGACCACAGTTCCAGGTAAAAATCTAGACCTTTTAAATAAACATATTAAAAAGAGGTGGCTAGAGTTTTCTATGTCTAGAGTTAAGCTTTAATGCATAATTTCACCTTTTGTAGCATGTTACACCCATATTCAGGGTGTAACATGCTATGCATGGACTGGCCTCCACTCCTCCCCGTTGTGACCGTTGAGCAGGGTATTGCTGAGCAGGGCTCCGCCTGTCCGGCCACGTCATTCATGCAGTGTTCTGTGAATGAATGAACTACAAGTCCCGACAGCCTTTGTGCTGTGGAGCGCTGTGGTAGTTCAATATTTCTTCCTGTCAGTATATCTGCTTGCCTGTGCATCCTGTACGGGCAAGCAGATATACTGAAAGGTCTGCAGAAGACCTGCATGGCACCAGCAATCTGCTGAGCACTGGTGCAATGCGTTAGAGGCCCCAGAACCAAAAAATAATGAATGCACATTTTTTTGTACCTGCAAAAAAATGCGCATTTATTATTTTTTGTAAAAAGCTTGTCCATTAAAAAAAAAACAAAATTCACACAGCACAACAGCTTTACCGATGAGTCTGAAGAGGCCAGGGTGTAGTTGATGGTGTGGGCAATGCAGAAGTTGGACTCGCTAGCATTGCACTATAAATATTTGAAGCAACAACCAGTATGCAAAGAAGAATAGGGCCAATGATTGCTCCTTCCAGTCCTAGGTAGTATGCACCTCCTGCAACTGCCAGACCCGTCAAATATGGATGACCACCTCTGTTAAGAGAGAACAAAACATGGTATACAGCATATTCTTTATTCTCCTATGAGGACTTTGCACATGGAAAAACGAGCAGTTATCAAATACATCTTAATACACAATGTTGCTAAACATTAACACTGACTGGGCTTCTTTTCTAAATGTCAGCTGAAACGCACACAGTGTAAATCTGTGCAGCAGTGCTTCCCAGCATACAGCTGGATGTGGACCTGTGCAGACGTGAATTCTGAGAAATGTGCTTTAAAAGCTAGGTAAAAACACTCATTCTGCTGGAGGACATCATTTGGACGCTGTTAAGTAGCTTTTATTTCTCACCTCACTCCAGCAGTTTTCCACATTTCAAGTGAAAGACAGTAGAAATGGTTTGCTCTGTTCATAAAATGTCATATACATGGATATATTTTTATAGTGTGGCTATCCATAAAAACACTGCTTCCCACAGGTCAGCTCACTGATTTGTGCAGCATCTGATAGAGCTCCGAATCATACCTCAAGGCTAAGGCCTCATACACAGAGGGATATAACTAGTGTGAAAGGCTATCTATGAAGAAATTACCGCAAGTGAATAAAGGATGGCAATACAATTATTATACAGGATTTATATAGCGCCAAGTTTCCTCAGCGCTTTACAATATAACGGGAGACAATACAGCAACAATACAGTTCAATACAAGAGGGTTAGGAGGGCCTGACCCTGGGAGCAACAATCTAGGAGGGATATTTTCACTATATATTGGTAGAAAGAACCCTAACAAGCTGTCTTAATGAAGGGGCCATACTGTGGTCTCTGTATTCTGAAATAAACATGTACCTGGGTCTTTCAGGAAATCCACCCTATTTACCTCCTGTATTAGGTGAATTATTTCCTCCCAATATTCCTGAATTTTAGGACACTCCCACCATATATATGCCACTGTGCCCTTTATCCCACGTCCCCTCCAACACATAGGTGATTTATCTGCTCGTTGCTTATGTGCCACACTCAGTGTAATATGCTGCCTAGCTAAACATTTATAGTTCATTTCCACCACCTTCATATCTACAACCCCATTTGCTAATCTAAATATTTTCTTTTTTTGTTGCTCATCAAATGATATTCCAAGTTCCCTTTCCCATTTTACCATATATGTAGGGGGAGTAACTTCTGTTATTGCAATAAGGATTTTTTATATATTCGAGAAGTACTATGTTTCCATACCCTACTTGTACTAAACAATTGTTCAAATTGATTCAAATCCACCATTGTCCTTAAGGGCTTAGGGAGCATTGCAAAAAAGTGTCTTAATTGGAAGTATCACCACTCATCTAACATAAAAAACAACAATTTTTTTTAGCTCCTGAAAGGAGCAAACTTCTTCTCCAGTCATATCTTTTAACTGTGCATCCCCCTTTCTTATCCATTTACCCAAAATATTTTCTTTCCCTGGCAGGAAAAAATCTGAAGCCACCAACGGCATGAGCAGAGTTAAACTCCACCCCATTTGTTTATGAATTCCATCCCACACCCTAATTACATTTCGTGTATAAGTACTCGTGCTCTCTGCCAACGTATGGTATTGATACACTTCGTGTTTTCTATCTTCACCCAACTTTCTCTTAGTGCATTATGTGTCCAATCAAAAATACGTAATAATAATACTGAGTAGTAATATCTCTTAAAATCAGACACACTTAACCCCCTATTCTCCTCATCTCTACACAATACTTCGTAACTTATCCTCGTTTTTCTATACCCCCAGATATACCTCAATAGAATTTTTTTAATTACCTTAAAGTAGGTTCCTGGAAGCTGTATAGGTAACACCTGAAATTTATATAGGATTTTTGGGACGATGATCATTTTTACCAAATTTATTCGGCCTATCCAGGATAGAGGTTCTACTGATAATCTCCTCAGTTCCTATTTGATCTCGTTTATTAATGGGATGTAGTTTATTTTATATAGATTCTTTAAGGACGAGGCCAATTTTATTCCTAAATATTTAAGTTCTATTTCACTCTAAAAAAAGGGAAATTCTCTTTGCAGAGCTTTCTTTTCAGTTATCGGGACATTAACATATAAAATCTGATTTTACCGGGTTCATTTTTAAATTTGACAGCTCTCCATAGTATTTCATTAAATGGGGTAATTGCAACCTAGGGTTAAACAGATAGAACATAAAGTGGCAGCATATGCTATTCCATCTCCCCTATCCGCCTCACATCCATACTATTCCCAAAAGAGGTTCCAAGGACAAAACAAACCACAAAAGGCAAAAGCGGACATCCCTGTCTTGTTCAAATTATTCATCCTGAAGAACTCTGATAACAAACCGTTGACCTTTACTGCTGCTGAGGGTCGACTAAAGCTTTCCTATCCGATCTCTCATTTTGGGACCAATTCCCAAAACTTTCAATGTATCTAATATAAAATCCCAATCCATCCTATCAAAAGCTCTCTCTGGGGTGAGATCTCTTTTGCCCTGGAGATGCCCATTTTCCCCCTTCCCGCACCAATGAAGGACACTCAGGAGATCTCACCCCAACATCAGTGACATTACCAGCTTTGTTTTCATCTGTATTGGTCTCCCTGCTCCTGTTTAGTTGTTACTCCTAGTCCCAGGGAAGGGTTGACGCCTCCTGTATATGGTCAATTTCTTCTCCCAAATAGGCCCATCTCCAACATTTGGAGATCATGCTGAAGTCTACAGAAGGGCCTGGCTGTCCCCCTCTTGAGGTGCACACCTGGCCTCTCTTTACATTGTTCGCCATTGGCGATTTTCTGCAATTGTTTACAGTCAATAGTTTTTTTTTCTTTGTTTAGAATTAGCTTTTTTTACTGCTGTTCTTGTTTGATCACAGGTATATTTGGATTTACTTCATATTGCATGAGGTTTATGTAACCATTATCCTGTGTATTTTTCTCTGTGCTGGATCTCCTGATGTGTATACTTTCAGATCCCTGACTTATGGGTATTATGGCGTCTAAACTGTTGGCAATTTTCTAGAATGTCCACGGTATGTGCTCACCACCTAAATGTGGTGTGGCAGGAATTAGGCCACCAGAATCCAACTGTTGTCCTGCTTCAGGGGTCCCAGTTTACAGCGACTTCTACACCCAACCTTCCACAGTCAGTTTTCAATCAATGGTTCCTTTGCCTTTCTACATTACCTAAAGTGAGAGGTGTAGCGATCGCTATTCACAAGTCATGTCCTTTTATCCCCTCACCCACATTCTTGACCAGAAGGGTACATACATACAAATTCCTCAAGGGCACTGTCTATAATGAAGTGTATACTATAGCTAATATATATGTGTCCAACACCCACACCATTAATTTTCAATCTACTGTAATGAAAACGCTTCTCGAGTTTAAAGAGGGTCTCCTCTTACTGGGGGGGGGGGGGGGGGGTGCTGGGGGACTTTGATCACCCTCCCGATCCTCAACTGGACACCTCCTCAATCATCTTTTTCTTTCAGAGTGCTAAAACGTTTCCGCAAACTTCTGCAGGACCTTCACCTAGTGGACAGTTGGCGGGTTGACAACCCCTCCACAAAGGATTATAGTCATTACTCCCATGTCCATACGGAAAGTTAGACCTCCTTTACATAGACCAATATCTCCGCAGGCTCTGTGGCACGAACATTTGTTCATTAACTATATCTGATCATGCCTCGGTCTCTAAGCTGGTTTTTGTTGGATGATAATACCACCATTTAATTTTTCAATCTACTGTAATGAAAAACGCTTCGAGTTTAAAGAGGGTCTCTCTTACTTGGGGGGGGGGGGGGTGCTGGGGGACTTTGATCACCCCTCCGATTCCTAACTGGACACCTCCTCAATCTTTTTTCTTTCAGAGTGCTAAACGTTTCCGCAAAACTTCTGCGAACCTTCACCTGTGGACAGTTGGCGGGTTGACAACCCCCACAAAGGATTATAGTCATTACTTTGTCCATACGGAATAGTTAGACATCTTTACATAGACCATTATCTCCGCAAGCTCTGTGGCCACGAACATTTGTTCATTAATATGATATGCTCGGTCTAAAGCTGGTTTTTGTTGGATGATAATACCACCTGCACAGATCTTGAATCTTCTATCACCACATATTTCAGATTGAATTCTACTGATGAGGTGTCCACGTGAGCACTATGGGAAGTTCATAAGGTGGTAATCCGAAGGTAATTGATCACCCATGGTTTCAGATTTAAGAAAGAATGTACAGAAATAGATGATTTGGTTGATAAAATTCACTTACTTGAACGCATAAGAGTGAACTACAACTGACTGATTTGACGATCGTGACAGAACTGCAGACCAGACTGTCGGAATATCTTGAAAGGAAAGCTCAGAACAAACTATGCCATTATCCTCACAAATTCTATGAGCATGGGAATAAATGTGGCCGCTTTCTTGCTCGTTTTTAATGCAAAAGGCAGGCACGTTCCAATGTCCATAAACTGAATGTTCAGGACATACTGGTGGTAGATTCTGACCATATTGCTGAAGCCTTCAGGTCCTACTATAGCTCCATCTATGATCTAAAACCTCTGCCCGAACCAAACCGAGCAGATAGAGAACCATAACACTACAATACTTGCAGGAAGTGGAATTCCCTTGTCTCCCCAAAGAGATATTGGATGAGTTAGAACGCCCCTTCACCCCCTTGGAGCTTGCCCCAAGTCATTTCAGACTTCCCCAAAGGGAAGAGCCCTGGCCCAGACGGCTTCACTAATGCTTATTACAAGAGGTTGGTGCACCACCTGACAAGAGCCCTTGTGTAACTATTTTAATGCTACTGCCTCCACTAGACCTCTATTTAGATAGAAGCTTTGCTCGTTGTCATAGCAAAACCTGAGCATGACCAGACATGCGGTCATAATTACCGTCCTATATATCTTTTTTAAATTCGAACACCAAAAATTTTTCTAAACATATAGCCACCAGACTGCAGGATCTCCTCTCTACGATCATCCACCCTGATCAAAACGGGATTCATTGTTGGTAGGGAGACAACACTATCTGAGCCTTAAATATTCTTCACTGGACCCGACACAGGCCAGATTAATCCCTCTTCCTAACTGTTGACAGATGCAGAAAAGGCTTTTGACAAGATGGATTGTATGTTCACAGAGGAGACCTTGCTCAAACTGGGCTTAGGGCAGAAAATGATGGGGTAGATCTCGGCACTCTAACTTGACCCCGAAGCTAGAGCGAAAGTAAATGGGACTATTTCTGACACGCTGAGTATCCGTAATGGAACTAGACAGGGGTGCCCACTATCCCCAATCTTGTTTTAGTGCTTGAACCTCTCCTGCGGAAAATTTGGCAAAATTATGACATCAAAAGGGTTCTTATTGGATCTAGAGTACATAAACTGTCTGCATATGCTGACGGCATCCTATTCTATGTGTCCCAGCCACTCTTCACCCTACCAATATTAATGTCAGAATTCCATAGATATGGTCATTTATCCAACTTCAGTATTAATTATGGAAAATTAGATTCTCCCGGTCATGATCCCTTATGACCTAATGTCACAACTAAAATTTCCCATTCACTTGGAAATGGCATACGTTGTCATATTTGGGACACACATCTCCTGATCCCAAAATATTGTACTCTGGCACACTTGTAAAAAGATTTGCGTGCTTAGCAAGCTACTTCCCTTACATGGTTAGGATGCATCAATACACTTAAAATGACAATTCTATCAAAGGTTCTTTACTTATTCTCCACAGTCCCCATACATTTACCACTTATGCTTCTTCGACAATTACAATTTTTCTGTTTACGATCTTTATCTGGCAGGGGAAGCAACCTAGACAGACGTCAGGAAGATGGGGGTTTGGGGGGCACCCAACAACTCTTTATACTATAAAGCTATAGCGTTAGTTTGCATTCTCAACTGGAGCCTTCACTCAAAGGAGAAGCTATGGGTCACTTTAGAAAAGTCTAGCTGGCAGGAATCTGGCTGGAGCTCTATGGATTCCACATGCAGCCAGGGGTCTGTCCAGCTGGACTACCTCGCTCATACGGAACACTCTGAAAATCTAGGATCACCTCACCTTTAACGTCACTAGGTGGTTTCCCCTGGTTCCCTTCTGGGGAGGATATCTCCTTCTTGGGTAACCTTGAGTAAGGATGGGGATAGTACCTGCTTGAAATTTACTCCCATGGGACGACTTTTACCACCAGATAGACTGCGAAGCTCCAATGGGGCATTCCCCATGGACTGCTGGCGCCATAGGCAGCTAAATGATTTTCTCCAGAAATTGGCACCTAAAGCGTGCCCACATGATTCGTTCACGTCTTCAGAATCTATAAGTAAAGGCCCTTGGAGACTCCAAGCATCTGCTTTCACAAATGTATAAATGTCTGCTAGCCACCCACTGGCAGACCACTCCCTACTTTATAAGAGAATGGGAAACTGAAATGGAACTGAAATTTACACCGCACCAATTACAAAAAATAGTTAAATTATACCATGTGTCTTCAATTAGCTCTAAGATCCAGGTCCCTAAACATCATGGGTGGCCTTCATAACCAACAGTGAATTGCTGGAGGCAGGGAAGGAAGAGTGACCCCTTGACTTTCTTTCATGAAGTCAAGATTTCCATACGAAAGTCCCCAGGGCCTGAGTTGCTTAGGAACAGATTAAAAGCTACATGCCGGCACCCAGGGACTTTGTAGACAGAAATAAAGCTACAGTTGAGAAGAAACCAGAATTACTGGTTCTCAAGCAAAAAGAAAAGCCTATGTAACCCTGAGCTCCAGGAAAATATAAAAAAACACACCAAACAGTTGTGTTTTCTTTCAAAACTTAAAGTACTTTCACATATGACTAGCAGAAGTAACCAAATCTATCTTGAAATGAGCCCGACATCTTCCATTACACAGTAGCACTTACAGTCAGAGCTTTATTTGAAATCAGGCTCTGCGTGTGCAGAGATGAGGACTTATTTGTGTTTTGTGCTTCTTCTGTGTTCAATCAGCAGGCTGAAAGTAATGTATTCCTGTTGGCTTCCTGGCTATGCTATCTGGCTAGTCGGGATATTTATAAGTCAAACAACGATCTGCACGTTTAATGTGGCTACTTACCCAGATATATCAGAGTAAATTGCAGTATCAACAAAGTATGTTGGCAACAAATGACATACAAGTAGTAATACTGCTTTAAAGCTTTCTCCTTGGGAAAACCACAGGTCTAAAACAGCAGGTACAGCTGCCCAGTATGTCCCCAAAAAAGGCACTGCTCCAAGAATTGCAGCCAAAGCTGAAAAAAAAAAAAATCATTCATTTAGTAGCAAGTATGTATGTGCTATACAAATAAATGTGCTTACAAATACAAAATGACAGAACTAAATGCACATACAACACACAGGTTGAGCACCTACGAGACATGCATTTTGAAGTCTAGAGAACTGCAGAGAGATATATATATATATATATATATATACATACATACACACACACATATACACACACACAAAAGAAAAAAAAATAGGAAAAAAACAGGTATGTGCATTTGCTCTGGAATATGCTAGGATCAGTGGAGAGGTTTATGGAAAGGTATACATGTTTATTCATTCTGAACGCTGTTTTCTTTAAATGGGGATTATAAACCTGTATAATCCTATAGCAGTTACTTTTAGGCTGAGCAAAAGTGTGGCTAGGGCTACACTTCCAATTAAACCTCCTTTCTACTGTAAAATTGAAAGACTAGGTGGCAGTCACCTTATTCCTACTTTGCACAAAAATGTAATCATTGTTTTCCTAATTCAGTGACTGTCAACAAGCAGTTACATTTTTCTACTGATTTAATCGTCTGTGTAGCTCAAGGATTAAGTGTTTTGTAGTTACAAACTTGAGGGAATAAACAGATAAAACTAGAGGAAATTCCACAGGAGCATTTCAGGAATATTTGTCTGACTGCCTGTTATGGTTTCCTCTTATTATGGTATAATGCAAATAACAAATATATTTTTTTAGATTATTACTATATAGTATTTATAAAGCACCAGTAGTTCGCTCAGCGCTGTACATTACAGAGGGGGACAGAACATGTGACAGAACAGTACCAATACAATGCAAAACATGAGGGGATTGAGGGCCCTGCTCTTTCAACCTTATATCCATAAATTGAAAGTTTCACTTTTGTACCACCACTTTCGTATTTGTCACATTTATACATACTATACAGGGTGTCCAGAAAGTAATGAGATTTTTAAAATTTGTTTATTGAAATAATTTACAATTGAACTCAACCTTGTAAGTGTACACAATGCTCCCAGTGATTTTTCCATTCTTTATAGCATCCCTGGAAGTCTTCAAGTGGGATAAACAGAATATAACTGGATACTAACATGTATAGGTAAAGTTGATCCAGGAAATATCAGATTGCCTCTCGGGGGGATCAGGAATTAATTTTTTTTTTCCCTCCAGGAGCAAATTGGATCATGCTTTGCTGGGGTTTTTTTTTGCCTTCCTCTGGATCAACTGTGGGTGTAGGATAACTTTTCTTTTTCTTTAATGGTTGAACTGGATGGACTTTTGTCTATTTTCAGCCAGACTAACTATGTAACTATGGATAGTGTTCAGAGCCTGCGTAGTGGCTATTTGGATGTTATCCACACTACCAAAATGGTGTCCTTTCAAACCCTTCTTCCTCTTTGGGAATATGAAAAAGTCTCAAGGTGTCAAGGCAGGGCTGCAAGTGGATGGGGAAGTGCTGTGATGCGTTTTTTTAGCCAACAACTCTGACAGCCAGAGCACTGTGACTCGGTGCGTTGTAGTGATGAAGGATCCAGGTTTAGCTGTTCTCAGAAGCACACAAAAAAAAACAAAAAAAAAAAAAAAAAACTTTGTCTCAAGCAACAAAACTTCCATCTAAAATCTCTGATTCACAGTTTGACCAGTAGATACAAATTCCTACAAAAAGATACAAAAAAAAAAAAAAACAAAAAACAAAAAAAACCCCATCAACCATTGATTATAATTTTTATTAGCTCATTCGAGCTTTCGTGGGGGGAGAGGTGATGTGGGTGTGTGCCATATTGAACTTTGTTTCTTCATCTTGGGATCGTACTCAACCACCCAGAATGCATCTCTCGTGATCACTCAACTCAAAAAATTTTGTCTTCCAAACAGACCAACAGGTCTTGACAAACGAGTTTATGGTGTTTCTTCTGATCAGGTGACCAGTTTTTTGGAGCAAGTTTTGCACACGCTTTTCTCACGTTTCAAATCCTGAGTCATGATTTCATTAACAATTGACTGGGTAATTCCCATTTCCTCTGCAATCACTCCGATAGTGAGCCTTCGGTCACGGTTGAGAACAGAGCTCACTGCATCCACATTCTGTTCCGTTTTTGAAGAAGAGGGGCATTCTGATAGTTGACACTCAGAGATGATGTGATCTTCCTTTCTTCCCAAAGAAGTAAAACACACCGCACTCACCAGAAATATGACCTTTTTTCAAAGAAGGTCAACTGTGCTTCGATATCTCCGGTAATTCTTATTTTCCCATTAATCCAGCTTGTACGTGAAGGGTTGAATATAGCATACAGATATAACAATCTTCCGCATCAAGAGACCTGTTAGTTTAACTTCTATAGTTGGGAAGATACTGGAGAGTTTAAGAAAAGGCCACAGAGGAGTTCTTGATGGAAAAAAATATTTTAAGCAACAGACAGCATGGATTGATGAAAGACAGAAGTTGTCAAACAAATCTCATCACCTCTCGGGCGATCAGGAAGGATTTTTTTTTCCCAGCAGGAGCAAATTGGATCATGTTTTGCTGGTTTTTTTTTTTTTTTGCCTTCCTCTGAATCAACTATGGGTATAGGATTATAATTTTTTTTTTCTATGGTTGAACTGGATGGACTCATTTATGTATGATAGGGTTTAGGGAGCGCGGTTCACTTTTGTTTAGTGTTTTAACATTCCTTGAGCGCTTAGCCTGTAATCGCCAAAGCTCCCAGCTCACCAACAACAACCTCCTTGATCCCCTACAATCTGGCTTCCATCCCCTACACTCCACCGAAAGCGCCCTACTCAAACTCACCAACGACCTGCTAACCGCCAAAGCCAATGGCCACTACTCAGTGCTACTACTCCTCAACCTCTCTGCGGCTTTCGACACAGTAGAGCACCCCCTCTTCCTCAAAAGACTATACTCTTTTGGCCTCAGAGACTCCGCTCTCTCCTGGCTCTCTTCCTATCTATCACAACGCTCTTTCAGTGTTACCTATAACGCTGCCACCTCCCCCTCACTCCCCCTCTCTGTTGGGGTCCCCAAGGTTCTGTCCTCGGGCCCCTTCTCTTCTCCATCTACACCTCCTCCCTTGGTCAACTGATACACTCCCACGGCTTCAACTACCATCTCTATGCTGATGACACGCAAATCTATCTCTCTACCCCTCACCTCACCCTTTCAGTCGCCGCCCGAATCACTAGCCTTCTGAACGACATATCAGACTGGATGTCACTCCACTTCCTCAAATTAAACCTTGCCAAAACCGAGCTCCTAGTTTTCCCCCCAGCCCCGTGCCCCCCCCCCCCCCCCCCCCCCCCCCCCCGACCTCTCCATTATGACCAACAACACTACCATCAGCCCCACCCCCCGCAAGCCAGAGTACTAGGTTTCATTCTAGACTCCAATCTGTCTTTCCAGCCCCAGATCCAATCGCTGACAAATTAATGCAGACTCCACCTCCGCAACATCTCCAAAATACGCATGTTCCTAACTCCAGAAACTACAAAGCAACTCATTCACTCCCTTATCATATCACGACTTGACTACTGTAACTCCCTCCTCGCCGGCCTACCCAAACACAGGCTATCCCCGCTTCAGTCTATCCTGAATTCTGCGGCCAGACTCATCCACCTTACCAACCGCTCTTTATCCGCCACCCCCCTCTGCCAATCCCTCCACTGGCTTCTGATTGCCCAATGCAAAAATTCAAAATACTAACATTGACGTACAAAGCTGCTATAACACTGCCCCAAACTACCTCACCGACCTGATATCCATCTACCACCCAAAACGCACTCTCCGCTCCTCACAAGACCTCCTACTCTCCAGTTCCCTGGTCTCCTCCTCCCCTTGCCCGTCTCCAGGGCTTCCCCCATCCTCTGGAACTCACTACCCCAATCCATCAGACTGTCACCTACCCTCCTCACCTTTAGGCGCACCCTGAAAACCCACCTCTTCAGAGAAGCCTACCCCGCCCTCAACTAACTGCTGATCTCCTCCGCTCTCCCCACCACTCCACCCCCCACAGCTATTTCCTCCTGTACCACTCTCCCCTCCCTCCTAGATTGTAAGCTCCAAGGAGCAGGGCCCTCGAACCCCTCATGTATTTTATTGTATTGTTACTGTACTGTCTCGTGTATTGTCTCCCATTGTAATGTACAGCGCTGAGCAAACTGTTGGCGCTATATAAATACTGTGTAATAATAATAACAACAACAACAACATCATATACCTGGCACACCACCCCTAGTGACCTTGGCCAGCTTCTCTCTTTACAGAGCCCTTCTTGAATGCAGGAACTTCATTCTCATTATATTCTGGACACACCTCGTACTAATGGATGAACTTGAAAGGACCTACTGGGATTCCTTAGTTTTTCAAAGGGATCACCTTAAGTCTAGATGGTCACGGTTTTAACACGTCGTCCACCAAAAACTTCATGATTTCTCTTAGCTTGGTAGAGATTGAGGGCGAATGTCTATCTTACCCCTCCTTATTGGAAAGCAACACTGCCATGTTTGATAAGTCAGACAATGACTCAGCAGGGGGTGTTGACTGGCAGGTGCTTATGCCTTGCATGTCATGTCTATAAGAAAAGAGACTTTTCCCAGATCCCAAGGTCTGCTACAAAGACTGAAAATTCCTCCCTATAGAAAAAGGAGGAATGGGGAATAGAGAAGGAGAAAAACGTGTGGAGAATGAGGTCCAGAGACCCACGTGTAGAGTTTTGACAGGAACCCTGAATAAACTCATCCAGGCCGTGGGCATAGTGTGTGTGCTGCCTGCCCTCTCATCCCATTTCCTTAATGTCTAATCGTCACCTTGAGGGTAAGGGGACCCTGTGAGGTACTCACAACCTTAATTAGTGTAGAGAAAAAGGGGTGCATCCACCCTGTGCCCCACGACTGAGGCTGCTGGATAAACCTTAAAAAGGTTGGTGTGAAAACCTGAGCCACAAACTGAAGCAGAGTTGCAGTGTTCCTGTTTGTTGTAAAGTATATAGGGAGGAAGATGGTGCCCAGAGCCTGGGAGGCAGTGTAGCACCTACAATGGGCAGGACTATGTACAACGAATTGAGCCACTACCCGCCAAAATGTGTATCAAAACATTTAGGTGCGCATGTGCTTATGGCTGTGACAGACCATTTTAAAAAGTGGCGTACGCTAGACCATGGCTGTGACAGACTATTTAAAGGTCTTTCATCAACCCTGGTACACACTGCTCCCACCCCAAGGTGCTCATGCCACCCACACCTTTGTGCTCAAGGCAGAGGAGTGGTGTCCTGGGACTACCACAGAAAAAGGTACAAAGCCCTGGACTCTCATATATATATATATATATATATATATATATATATATATATATATATATATATATATAGGCAACTTCTTAGAAGAAAAAACACTAGGTGGAAATTCCCCACTTTGGAAGGGCATACCCTCTCCTCCATGGACATGGTCTTCAGGGACTGGAACTACTGGGACTTGGATCACTACTTCTCTGGTGTGAAGCTCTCTGCAAATAACAATACTGCAATGTACTGCTGTACAAAGATTGAGAACTAAAAAGGTAGAATCCAATGCTGGACAACAAAGTTACTGCCTGGTCCTGCTGTCCTCCATGTGACGGCACCCAGGTACAGCTTCGAGAGGTGCCAGTATGGGGCGACTGATCTAGAAGGTGCAGTCTTATTGCTACAGTAACATCGATGCCAAAGGATACATTCTTAAAAGGAGAGATCACTGTGGGAGCTTTAGTTGGTAACATATACTGTAATGTAGCTACATGAAACTGGGAGATCTGCTCTATACGACACTCATTTGGCATGAGAAAGGGAAGCATAATGTCAGTCTCTAAATTGTGCTACAAGAATTCAGACCGGTTTTGAGATTTAGTGCCTGATATATTAAAGAATATTGTATCTAAACCTAAGAACAAAAAAGCAACATGTTACAGAGTACCTTTTCTTAGATACGGTGACCAAATGAATTTGCATTTTTATAATTTTTTTTTTTTTTTAAGCTTCACCTGGTGATCCCAAGAACACCTAGAAAAGGAATGTGTTAGGGTTATATAATATGTCTCTCTATAACATAGGGGGAAATGTTTAGTATTCAACTGAGACAGCTGGGAACAATGCTGATAACTGTCCTCAAAAGAAGGGAAAGCGGGAAGTTATCAGCTCACAAGGATTCTGTCTGAACAGATTTGTTTGCACTTAGTGAACAGATATAACAAACTGCTTCAATTCTATATTAAACAGTACATAAGGGACCAAATAAGAGAAATGTACTGTTAGCATTTCCATATACTTTAAGAATGGGGCTGCAGTAATAATAGTAGTGAAAAGGGTAAGCCACATTGACTAGGGGCAAGGATTGATACAGAAGAAGAAAATGCCTCTACGTTTACTTTAAACTTTTTCTAATTTTGATAAACATTACATCATTCATGTTCATCTCTATGATGTATTTCAGAGCTTAGCAAACCATACATATAAGCTGAGATACATTGAGAATCATGAACATATAACACACAGACATGCATACACATCTTACCAGATGGTATAAAAATTATGTTTATCCCAAACATTGTATGAGTAAGCCAAGTGTACAGTCCATAGAAGCAAGCCATTTTTAGGGAAGCATCAAATACACCCCTAAAAATGAAGAAGCAAAAAGATGGCACTCAATCCACTGGAAAAACAGCTTGCATATAATATAGATAGTGGTATTTTTTATATAAAAATGCTACTCTACTATTTTAGTAGCTGATGGATTCTTACCAGCCTCCCACTTACCATAAATACACAGAATGTACTGCAGTCATGCTTCTTAGTCTAGTCCCTCTTACTTCTATGAAGCCTGAGATGGCTCATTGATTTGTCTCAGGCAGGCCACATATGGACACATTTTTCAGAATATGTGACAAACATTTGACAAAATTTTTAAATAAGATTATGCAAAATTTATTTTTTTGTTGTAGGTACAAAAACAATTGCCCATGACATAGAAATGGGACATATCAGCCAAAATGATTTTCCAATTTGTTGGAACAATCATTCCCTGCAGTGATTCAGATTTAAAGCAATATCAGAAACTATGGTTGAGAGTACAGAACTACAAATTAAAGACATCTGCTACTGTTCATAGGGTAAATAATCAGAGAGACAGCCAATTACCCTAAAATCACAACTGCAAAACAGAGGTTATAATAAATTTCACTTATGAACATTTTAATAAATAATTTTTGCTAAATGTTCATGAAATCTTCTGAAAAACCAGTCCGTGTGTGGTGGGTTTTAGTCTGTGGTGTACTGATGATATGGTCTTCCAAAAGCAAACTCAACTATCCACAATGATTTCATGCAACAGTGTACGGTCAGCAGCACTAAATAACAGAAGTGCTTGTGTATTTACCATTCTCTCTTACAAAAGCCTTCATTCCGAATATTAGTGGCAAAAAATTATATTAATGCTTCCAGAACAAGGACACTTTAAAGAGATTTCCAGTATCACCAAAAAACCTCTTTAATACTGAAATGATGCCAAATGATGTGTGCACCCCCTTCCCTATCATTCTGCAAATAGAAAACTGGATCTGTTAGTTTGGACTATTTAACATTTTTCAGTGTATTCCTTTTCTGGAAGATCACCAAATGAACAAAGCACTCTGTGTCCTAAAAAGCACTAATTTCATAAGACTAGGTTTCACCAGCATCCTGATGAAGCCAACAAACACAGACTGCACCAGGCTGTTGCCTAGCATTTTCATTTGCAGAGTAGTAATGTACTAATATACAGCATAGTTAAAGGAAAGGCATTCATGATATGCTGAATGCGAAATATAGGTAGATATGCCATACAGGGATTAGACCAAAAAAAAAAATGGAAACACTACATGATTCGCAGGTGTGAAAGTGACAGCATGTTTCATGTTAAAAGTGGAAGTAACGTAACATTCTTTTGCTTCCGCTGTGTGATGAGACACTTAGTTAACAGGTGGGAAGCCTCACTGCATGCGTTGCTAGAAATATGGAGTTGTGTCAGAGCTTACAGAGCTTCAAAGAGGACAAATTGTTGGTGCCGGCTTAGCTGGTGCCTCTGTGACTGAAGTTGCCAATTTATTTGTGGTGTTGCGAGGTACAGCATCACAGGTTATGACGGCATATACAGTTTCCAAGAAGACCTCTGACTAGCATCAGCGCGGTCGACATGGTCAACTAAATGAAAGACAAAAGGACATTGCGCATAGCTGTGAACTGGATTAAGAAAACAACTTCTGCAAAAGTGAATGCTGAGCTCGATATTCAGTCTGCAGGGGAAAAATTGCAATTTCAGTCACATAGGCATTAGGTAAGGAGGCACCAACAATCTGCCCTCTTTGAAGCTCAGTAAGCTCTGACACGACTCCGTATTACAAGCAGCGCAGCCAGTGAATGACAAGTGAGACGCACCACGCAAAAGAATGTTACATCACTTCCACTTTTAACGTGAAACATGCTGCCACTTTCATACCTGCAAATCATGTAGTGTTTCCATTTTCTTTTACCCAACCCCGGTATTTTCAAGCGGTATTAAACTTCCAAACAGAAATGTAATATATTTCAGCTTACCAATCGTTAGATGTGGTGGCTGCATACTTTTTTTTTTTTTTTTTTAGGCTTTTTTCCCCCCTTGGTTTTCATCTGCAGATCTAGCCAGTAACACACCCTCCTGTATTAGAGTGCTCCCACTCTGGATGAATGAGCACAGGGGCTTCTTTGGACAGCAGCACCGTCAGTCTGGGGGGCAGGAGTATTAGATAGACTAGCAGTTTTAAATACATTAACTGAAGACAAACTCCACCTAATACTTTATAAGTTACAGCAGTTTTTTTTCCTTTTGGGATAAAGGTTTTACATAAATAAAAGCTGATCATTCAAGGCACCACTGTCAGTGGCAAATGGTTTGTCTCATCCCTATAACTGATACATCAAGGAAAAAAGCTTGTTCTTTTGAAAAACAGACTTCTTGGCCAGATCACCAAATGAAAATAGAAAAAAACCAAGCTTAAAAAAGAAAAAATGCAACCATCACATGTATGAATTGGTAAGCTGCAATATATTAGGCCTCGTGCATACTGCCACTCAAAGAAACTACCCCTACAGGAGTTTGAGCTGTTTTGAGCTTTTATTTTTCTTTGCCTGTAAACTGCCCGCTAGGGTAGCCTTTAAGTTCATGCAAACTAAAGGTGTTTTCAGGAGTTCAGTGGCAGGGGAGTTTACAGGCAGAAAAAATATCACTTTTGTCTTTAGGAGAGGAGCTTTTGAGCATACAAAATGCTCAAAAGTGCAAAAACGTGCATCAGTACGCATTCCAATGTTAATAGATTCTAATGGCCAGAATTCTGGCCAAAAGAATGCAATGATGCCAGACGTGGGAACGTGCATTAACTCGCATGCAACTTTTTACTGTGTTTTTAAAGCTGAAAAGCCTGTAGGGGAAAAAACGTTTTCAGCTTACAGTGTGCACAACGCCTAAAAGGTTTGCGTTTGGGCTTAACATCACTTTAATAATAATTAATACACAATAATCAACTCACCCTACTTTCAATTGCCCTTCTAAAATGTAAATAAATAATAAGATTCATGTTGAAATGATCATTTCTGATAATCTGCATATGCAAATGAATTAGAACCAAATAATCATTTGTCCTTTGGTTACTAGAAAGAAAACAAAAGCATAAGGAGATAAAGGATGCAAGATACAGGCAGGCCCACGTGCATGCACTCATGTGAAAATATCACACATACTAAATTGCACCAAGACAACATGCAACTTAGTAATGTGCAATACATCCACCCGAGCAAGCAGAACAGGAGTGTCAGGATACAGGGATATGGAACATTCAGAAAGAACATGCCATAAAGGAACAAATGCTTATACAAACATGCACATGCTAGAGTTTTGCAAATGTAAATGTTTAAAAAATGTTTCCATTTTTTTACAAAAATGGTAAGTGAACATAAAGATGAACTCCAACATTACCAAGATCTGTGGATTTAGAAATAAAAATGACCTAATCACAGAATACAGGAGAGACATACACTTATACTGTAGTCTAATACAGAGGGAGGAGTTTCAGTCTACCTACAGGTTCAGGTAATTAACCCCTTGGTGCCTCCCATCCCTTTAACCACTTCCCGTCCGGCCCATGTAACGTCCGGACGGGAGCAATACAGGGGTGGGTGGCTGTTAATAAATGGCCTCCCGCCCCCTGCTTGTGCGCGCTCCCGGGGAGCATGCAGCACCGCGATCTGATGTCCGCTCCGATGCCCTCCGGACACAGTGGAACACCAATCATCGTACGGGACCTCTGTGAGGTCCCGATCATGTGATCACTGATTGGCCAATCAGTGATCAGATGCAGAGTAGTAAGCAAGATGTCACTTCTGACATCATTGCTTACTACGTGTGAAACCTGTGAATGATCACAGAGGTCACATGGTACAAGGCTATTCACAACAGCCTTGTACCATGTGACAAGCTGTGACCAATCACAGCTCACACAGTATTTCTCAATGGCTGCAAAAATGCAGCCAGAGAGAAGGAGAAATTATTGCTTTTACAGCCTTTATGGGTGTAAAAGCAATCAGTGTAAAAAAAAAAAAAAACTTTATAACCCCCATCATAAATCCCAGTGGTGAATAAATACCACCAAAATAAAGTTTTATCTGCCTCAAAAAAGCTAAAAATTTCATATGGGTACAGTGATGCATGCCTGTGCAATTGTCATTCAAAGTGTGATAGCGCTGAAAGTTGAAAATTGTCCTGGGCAGGAAGGGGGTAAAAGTGACCAGACTTGAAGTGGTTAAAGGTGTTCCTGATGCCAGGAAGCGGGGAGGGGTTTAGGGTCACATGTCCACCGTAATTGGATGTCACAGCGGTCATATGATCTGAACATGAATGATCGTAAGTAACGATCAGGAGCTTTCCATGAGGCACCGGTAAGTGTGCCAGGAGTACGCAGGGCGTGCGCATTTGTACATGCTGGTTTACAACAGGTACACAAATATGTGGCCTCTAGGCGTCAAGGCCCAGCCACCGAAAGGCAGCATATTTGCGTACAGTCGCCACCAAGGTTAAAACAACATTTACATAGTACAGTATTCAAAAGGCTGCAATGACTTCCTTAAGGGCCTTTGTTGATTATTGTTTGTTCCCTTCAAATGGGTTTTGTATACACATACAAGTCTAATAAATGTAAACCTGCTTGAAGCAGATTAAATGTAGTTCAGAAAGAGGTCAATGAATTCTAATTATTATTTCAGAACAAACCTAAAGCCCATCTGGCACAAACCCTAACATTAAAAGAGGTTTTTGTGTTGATATTTATCATGTCTTAAGCTGGCCATAGAATGTCCATCCACACATTCAAGGTGGACTCTATTCTGATAGCAGGGAGACTTTCCATCGCCAGTGCCATCAGAATACACAGATCAGGGCTGCAGGCTATGACCTGCAGTGCTGATCAAGAGGAAATTATCCAGCAGGGAGGTTGTACAGAAATTAAGCGGTAGATCGACTTCTGTACAATCATAGTACCCATATACAGTGGGTATAGAAAAGAATCACCCCCTTTAAAATAATCACATTTCGTTGCTTTTCAGCATGAAATGAAGACAGACACAGTTTTTGTTTTATCTAGCTGTATTTACTCAGTGCAATTTATAACACCCAAGTGAAAGATATAACACCAACATGTCAGAAAAAAATTCAATTTAAAAACAGAATCACTGAGTTGGAAAAAGAATCGCCCCCTTGTGTCAGTATTTTGCTGAAACATCTTTTGCTTTAATTATAGCCTTTAGTCTGTTGAGATATTTCTCTACTAACTCTGCACATCTAGACTTTGAAATATTTGCCTGTCTGGGCTCTGATCCATGCAAGGATATTCACCTTTTTCGCCTTAAACCACTGTGTGGTCAGTTTTGCTGTGTGCTCTGGTCGTTGTCATGTTGGAAAGGAAACCTTCTACCCGTTGACAACTTTCTGTCAAGAGAGTAGCAGATATTCCTCAAGAGTTTAATGGTATTGTGCCCCATCCATTTTTCATTCTATCTTGACAAGTGCTCCAGTCCCTGCTGCAGAGAAACACCCCCATAACAGGATATTACCACCTCCATTTGCTTTATTGTAGGAATGGTGTTATTTGGATGGCGAGCTGTACTGGATTTCTACCAGACATATTAAGTGTTGAGGCCAAATAATTCAATTTTAGTGTCATCTGACCATAGCACCTATCTTCATGCAGCCTCAGAATCTTCAAGGTGCGTTTTGGCAAAGCTCATTTGTGGCCTTTGAGGAGTAGCTTTTTGCTTGTAACCCTCCCATACAAGCCACATTTGTGGAGAATCTGTGATATTGTTGCCACACGCACATAATAACCACTGTATCAGAAATTCCTGCAACTGCCTCAAAGTTGCTGTAGGCCTCTTGGTAGTGACCAGTTTGCTCCTGGCTCTTTCACCCAGTTTGGAGTGACGTCCAAATTCAGGGAGGGTCTGTGTTGTACCAAATACCTTCCACTTCTTAACAATGACTTCACCGTGCTTCTAGGCATTAATAAAGCCTTTGAAATTGTTTTGTATCCATCTCCTGACTTGTGCCTGTCCACAACTTTATCCTGGAGATCTTAAGACAGTGCCTTGCCACCCATAGTTTGCTTCGAAAGTCAAATGGCTTTGTGTGCCATTGAGAAGGTGATTAGCTACACCTGACAGTCATTTTTTGGAGGGGTTGATCCTTTTTCCAACTTAGTGGTTCGGTTTTTACATTTTTTTTTTCCAGACATGTTGGCGTTATATCTGTCACTTGGTCCATGGACGGGCAGCATTATGGAGATCTGAGTAGTCTCCTGACGCCCCCCCCCCCTCCCCATCAGGGCAGTATCATCTTTGCTCGAGCATTAGCCTGACTTAGCATCTATGTCCTGGAAAGGGATTCCAGCTCAGAGATAACACAGTCATGAAATCCTGCTGTCTGTGCAGTTCTTGGGGATGTTTACAAATCACAGCCTCTCACCTTGAGTGATCACACATCAGGGATTTATTCATACTGACTTATAAATTACTGACAAACCAATTTTAAAGCATAACTGCAGCTTCAATGACAACTGCAGCTCTGTGATAAACTAGCAGCCAGGATGATGCCAAAGTCAAAATATAAATGAGTATGTTATACTTTTATAAGGAATAAAATATTCTTAGAAAGTCAGTAAAGTCCTGGCATTTGGGGCACTCCTGCATAGTAATAGTAGTAGTAAAAGTAGTGGTCATGATCTCCTAGAAGATGACAAAGGTGAAGGCAGAGTCTTTGTCAGGCAACCTTATTGCAACTACTGCCTGGCCTGTCTCTGACTCTGGCCACCATCTTCCTCTTAAAGTATATGGCTGCCTCATGCCTGACCTTTATACTGATGTGCAGGAGCACCATGGATGCACTGTCACTGAAGTCATGCTGGTTCTTCTGTATGAACAGCACTGTGCATGCTCTTGCAAAAAAGCATTCTGTATTGGAACTAGCCCTGCTTTTGGGAGGTAGATAATGTTGACCATCCTGATCCTGTGATTCTTTATTCAAAAACACCAAACATTACACCCCTGTACATATAGCTCTAGACTCCCAATGTCTAATGCCCCTTGAATAAAATGGTCGCATATTGGAGTATTATTTTACTGTTTTTCGCTGCCTTTAAGCAAGAAATGTTATAGGTGCAATATTGTCAAATATACTGTAATTTATTACAATGACTCTACAACATGATTATTTTACATTTGAATGTATGTAAAGACATTTTGTTTTCAATAGAGTGCTGGGGGGATAGTCTATTATGCCGGGACTGAAAGGTGCGGAAAAAATAAAATTTGGCCTTGTCACCAGATCATGAACAGAGAGCAAATCTTAAAGAGGGGACTTGCCTTACTTTGGGGAGATTGGGACACAGATGGCAAAAAACCTCACAATGTATTTTAATTATTTCTTGTTCTATAAAAAAATATATATATATATATATATATATATATATATATATATATATATATATATTTGGCTTAGAAAAAAAAAAAAAAATTTAAACAAAGATCATACCTTATAGCTTCCTCAACTGATTGACCAATTATATTTGAGGAAGGACCAGGTTGAGAGAGTGGAGTGAGACTTATAACCCATTTTACAGGCTTGTAGTAGTCATCACTGGAGCTCAGGAGATAAAACAGCGTTGTAAGGAAAATAATCTATAAAACACAATACATATAAAGATCATACTATTTAGTCTGTATGGGTTTATTTAGGCTTTGTTCATACTGCAAGTAGTTCAAAGCAGATTTTACCATGCAGATTTTTAAAATGCAGACATAACTTTGCTCAGAGGTATTTTAAAACGTTCTTACAATCATTCTCCTGTATTTTTGCTTAGCCAAGCATTTTCACCTCCCATTATAGTCAATGGAAATACCAAAAAGATACTCATAAAGTTCCTATTAAACATATTTGAGCATTGAAAATCCCACTATTTTGAATGTAGCAATCAAAAGAATCACTGAATGTTTACATTCACGTGGCAAGTACAAAGTTGCCGTCTAAAAGACAAAGTTCCACTTTGCATTAAGAAATGATACTAACATATGTTGGTAGCATAGGAATGTACAGTGCACGGAAGGTTTAGAGCCCTGGTGCCCAGCCTGCAGCCCTTTGGTATGTGATTTGCAGTCCTTGGACTTCAGCAGTCTGTACCCAATTGGGATAAAAGCAATGATCTCTACTAGCCTCATGTAACAAGTTCCCATTTTTTTATGGACGTGTGCAGCATATATCCAGCCCATGCAGCATGTCTACACTATCCAACCCTCATTTCTTCAATTAGGACTGTAGTTTCTGACTGTCCTCTCAAGCATTACATATATTGAACTTTATATGAAGCCCTTTGGTGATGACCGGGAGCACATTTGAGACCCCTTTAGCTTATAAGCGGATAACCACTGGTTTAGAGCACATAAAATGATATGGACATCCTAGGAAGGCAACATAAATATGCTGACAGTTATTTACATGAATAGATTGTTTAGCTGGTTAATGGCATGGCAACTTAAGCAGTATTTAAAAAGCTATTTGTTGGATGCTGCAGGGTCTCAGTCTGCAGGGATATTTGCACCAGTTGCATCTCAAAAGAATATAACAAAATCCCAATTTAGGGTTTTCACAGCTTACACATTTAAGGATTTGACATCCCTGTGTGTACTTTGATTTGATTGATGGGTATAATGTAACAGCTGATACTGTGGTTACTTAACAAAAAAAAAAAAAAAAAAAAAAAAACGTAATAGGTCATATTGAAGGTAAAAAACAAGACCTCTGGTGCTGAAATATTGAGGTTTATTACTCTATTTCTAAACTTCCAGTCTTAAGGCTACAAATTCTATAACCCATTTGTCTAAATCAAAAGTAAAGATTGGTGGTGCCAGTCTCCATTCTTTTCATTGCCAATAAAAGCAAAGAGAATGGCAAGGAAACAATTTCCTGCTTAAGGATTTTTTTTTTTATACTCAATGTACAATATGTCTGTATAAATTGTTCTGAGCCTTGAACCAGCTAAATGCTCACCATGTCAGTGAGAAAATCTAACATTCAAATTTCCAAAATTTTGTAACTTTTACAAAAAAAGGTAGATACATTAAAGTGTTACTAAACCCAGGACCCTACATTCACTATATCTGGTCTCTCACAGTACACAGAATAGAAATATGCTATTTTAGTAAGTCTAACTGCTGATGAGAAAAGCTATTTAGCAGTTTATAACAGTATTGTGACTTCTATCAGTGTCCAGCAGATTACTGGTTAAATCTTGTAGAAGAAGTTTTCATTCTTCCCTGACTGTCCTATGAGGCTGTATTAGCCTTGACCCTCTGTCTTGACAGTGCTGATTGGCCCTGTGCTGATCACATGCACTCTCCCACGAAAAAAAAAAAACCAAAAACTCTCTAGCGATACACACCAAACTCAGCATGTGCAGCTTGCCCCCAAGGCTCTGTCCCACCAGCAGATGGATTGAGAACAGTAGAAGGTGAGGATCAGAGAAGACCAGATCAAACACTCTTTTTACACAATGCAGAAGATTAACCCCTTAGGTTCCACAGCAAGTATAAAAAGCATGCTTTACTGCATATACAGACTGATTTTACTGTTGTGGGTTTAAAAACACTTTAATACTGCATACATACTGGGCTACCTGTAAATACTAAAAACAGGACCAAGCATATCCAGCAATTAACTAATCTATACAATTACTTGTTTGAGCATTTAATAAATTAAGATGTCCAAACACCAGTTAAACAACCATTTGGCTTGAAAATGAAATTGTAATGTCATAGTATTGATCTCTGTAGTTTTCAAAGTAAGCAATAAATTAAAATTATACAGCTATCGATCAGATCGTATACATACCAAAGACAAAACAAAATTAAGGAGTGCCGTGCCACTGTAGATGATGATTGTAAACAAAGTTGTCACAGTGGTAAAAAGTAAGCTTAAATTTCGACTCATTACAATCCAGAGCGACTCCAGTATCTAACAGAACAAGAAAAAGGATCTTTTTAGCAGAATTTTTTTTTTCACAAGTGCAACAATTAGCCACTTTAATAGGCAGTTTAAAATAAGTCATGTAAAAAGGATATGCTCAAAGTTAGTCAACACTTGTACATTGCTAGACAATAATACACATTGTACATGGCGGCAAGAATGGAGGTTTTTGGTCAGTTTTGTGGGAAAGGCTGTATGCTGTCACATGCACTTGTCCATTTTTGCACTAGAGTTCCTTCACCCACCACCTCTGCACTAGAGTTCCTTCACCCACCACCTCTGCACTAGAGTTCCTTCACCCACCACCTCTGCACTAGAGTTCCTTCACCCACCACCTCTGCACTAGAGTTCCTTCACCCACCACCTCTGCACTAGAGTTCCTTCACCCACCACCTCTGCACTAGAGTTCCTTCACCCACCACCTCTGCACTAGAGTTCCTTCACCCACCACCTCTGCACTAGAGTTCCTTCACCCACCACCTCTGCACTAGAGTTCCTTCACCCACCACCTCTGCGCTAGAGTTCCTTCACCCACCACCTCTGCACTAGAGTTCCTTCACCCACCATCTCTGCGCTAGAGTTCCTTCACCCACCACCTCTGCACTAGAGTTCCTTCACCCACCATCTCTGCACTAGAGTTCCTTCACCCACCATCTCTGCTCTAGATTTCCTTCACCCACCATCTCTGCTCTAGAGTTCCTTCACCCACCATCTCTGCACTAGAGTTCCTTCACCCACCATCTCTGCTCTAGATTTCCTTCACCCACTATCTCTGCACTAGAGTTCCTTCACCCACCATCTCTGCACTAGAGTTCCTTCACCCACTATCTATCTGTGTGCGGTCATAATCATTGACCACTCATCCACTGTGGCTCCCTCTCTCACTGGCTTTGTGCTGCAGGTTGTAAGGTCTCTTTCTCAGTGTGTCTGTTCTCTCTAGTCATGCTTTTTTCCCCACTTTCTCCTCTTATCCCACCCAAATCAACTATCTTAACTATTCCAACACGTCTACTCTCCTTTGTTCCCCTGTAAACCTCTTTCTAATATAGATTTAGAGGGGGAGGTTGCCCCAGAGGGTTGCATCCTCAAAAGCTTGCTGCAGAAAAAGAGTCCAACCAATCAACAGCCGCAAGCCTAAATAGATCGCCATATTAAGAAAACAAAAGAAAGAAAAAAAAAAAAAAACATACAAAATGTGAGAGCCCTCAGCAGAAAATCCCAAAAGGAGAACGCGAAAAGAAACCCTTAAGCTAGGAAAAATAAAAGAAGTAACCCTGAACCCTTTAAACAAAACAGTTCTCCCCTGTCAGCTCCTGCACATTGCTTGCAAAGCAGTGTGCTTACAGTGACGCACTAACACAGCACACTTATGTGTGACAAAACAGCACACAGTTAACCCTTTGATCGCCCCACATGTTAACCCCTTCCTGCCCAGTGGCATTAGTACACTGTCAGTGCTTTTTATTAGCAGTGATCACTGTATTAGTGTCACTGGGAATGTCAGTGACACCAAGTCAGTTCCCCCCCAGTGTCAGAATGTCTGCTGCAGTCCCGCTATAAGTTGTTGATCGCCGCCATTACTAGTAAAAATAAATAAAAAAACAGTATATTTACACTGCCATTTGTAAACGCTATAACTTTCACGTAAGCCAATTAATTTACACGTATCAGGAGGGATTTTGTTTTAGAAAAGACATGAAGCAGAATACATTTTGGCCTAAATTTATGGGTAAATTTGATTTTTTAAAGTTTTTTACTGGAAATGTTTAACCACCTCCCTTCCGGCCGTTGTATATAAACAGCCAGACGGGAGCAGTGCAGGGGCGGGTGGCCGTTTATAAACAGCCCTCCCGCCCCTTCTAATGCGTGTTCCCTAGGAGCGCGCAGCACCACGATCCGAACACCGAACGTCATACGGGACCTCGCACAGAGGTGATCACTGAGTAGTAAGCAAGATGTCACTTCTGACATCACTTCTTACTACGTGTGAAATCTGTGAATGATCACAGAGGTCACATGGTACAAGGCTATTCACAACAGCCTTGTACCATGTGACAAGCTGTGACCAATCACAGCTCACACAGTATTTCTCAATGGCTGCAAGAATGCAGCCAGAGATAAGGAGAAAGTATTGCTTTTACAGCCTTTATGGGTGTAAAAGCAATGTGTAAAAAAAAAAAAAAAAAAAAAAAAAAAACAAAACACCCACAAGTAGTACCGTGTCACCATGTACTGTACTGCTATGGTGACAGTATTTAAAAGAATATTTAAAAAAAAAAAAAAAAAAAATTTTTAAAATTATAATTTTTGGTTATAAACTAATTTGGGTTATTTTTTTTTTTTTTTTTTACTAAAAATATAACTGAATAAATTTTGGCCAAGATTTATGATGAAATATTTATTTGCAAAAAGAAAAACTTTTCAAAATTTGACATTCATTTATATAGCAAAAAAAAAATAAAATAAATAAAAATCCCAGCAGTGAATAAATACCACCAAAATAAAGCTTTATCTGTCTCAAAAAAAATGCTAAAAAATTCATATGGGTACAGTCTTGCATGACTGCGCAATTGTCATTCAAAGTGTGATAGGGCTGAAAGCTGAAAATTGGCCTGGACAGAAAGGGGGTAAAAGTGACCGGACTTGAAGTGGTTAATAGCAAAAAGTAAAATAAATTGTTTTTTTCCTCAAAATGTTTTTTTTTTTTATATAGTGTAAAAAATAAAAACCACACAGGCGATAAAATACCACCGAAAGAAAGCTCTATTCATGGGGAAAAAAGGAAGCATGACTGCACAATTGTCAGTTACAGTAAGGCAGAGCCGTAAAGCAAAAAAATGGCCTGGTCAGGAAGGGGGGTAAAACCACTGGAGGGCAAGCGGTTAAAAGGAAAGAGTGCAGTGATCAACAACACCTGTATGAAAGGGGTTAGGCAGGGGTGGGGATATAGCGTAATGCAAACTGGTGTACATGCACATCAGGGCCAGAAGGATAAGGAGTCCTTCCAACTCGCATCCATAGGTGTTTCGGAGGTGTGATAGCAATATTATAAACCTGCCTGATCAATAGTGAAATATAGGATTCTAGGAATCATAAAACATAATCTTGTAAAAGGCAGAATTCTGCATAGAAGATCTAGGGGGATAAATCCTATTACTGGGTGTGATAGAATAAAAGTTTTTTGGGAAAGAGTTGCTTCGTTATTCAGGACACAACACGACAGGATACTCATGTAGCCCTTTAGCGTTTTGTTCTAGTGCAGTGAAGTACCAGTGGCCCAGTATAAGAGGTCTCTCCTGCCCTATTTATTAAACACAGCCAAAAGGTTGATCCCTAAGCATTGGAATTCACATAAAATCCCTACTGTGAAGGAATGGCTCCTAAAAATAATTTATACACTCACTGACCACTTTGTTAGGTACACCTTGCTAATGCCAAGAAAAAAGCCACTACATCCATTCTGATTCACAATGACACAGATTCACACCACCCACACTTAAAGTAACTCAATCTAAATCCTAAGTAGGGAATCCTACTGTCTTTCAATGAAATCCCTAAAAGCAAGATCATCATCAACCTGTCTGATGGCATGAATGTTCCCTTTTTCTTTTTCAAAGGGAAAAAGCTCTTTCCCTGTCAGGAGGGAGCCATGATTTCATAGGTTATTTCCAGTTCTTGTAGAGGAATGTTTTACATTCCAAGTGTAACAAGAAGGCTTTGAGGCAATACAGGCTCTACAAAGACAGATGCTTGAAACCACATGCTCACTCTTCTACAGCAGGGTAGAATGTACTGTGCATCAGTCAGATCAGTATGAACTCCTTGTAAGGCCCTTTCACACGAGTGGACCGATTGGGATCACCTGTCAGTTTTTCAGGAGGACCCTCCATTCTCCTCTATGGAGAAGCGGGACCATTTACACCTACATCTAATCTGATCCGCTAAAAACAGTCAGATGGGGATCTGCTCCCCTTCCATCTATCGGATCATCAGATGGCAGTCAGGTGTAAACGAACAGGCAGTCTGTTTACATCTGACCACCCACAGAGGAGAGCTGTGTCTGTGTCCTCTCTGCATAAGCCAAGCGGATACAGACCAGCCATCCGCCTGCAAAGTGGGAATCAGTGGACAGATCCCCTGCTGAGCAAGTGAACTCCTAGTGGAGTCCACCCAATGCGGAAGGGGTCTAAATCTAAGTCACATGGAGTTTGCTGAAATACAGTCAGACGGAGGAGACTGAGGACTCTGAATGAGAGATGGTAATAAGGGTCTCATCAGAGGTGGATATCCAGTAAATTCAGAATTAAATTTTGCCGTGGATGGTGCCAAAGCATGCCTAGCGTCTCTGCAAGCAGAATGCTCCATTATTTGTGCAGACACGGACAGAAAATCTTAAGTGGATATAAGGGGTCTTGTGGGCAGATGTAAAGTCACAGCCTCTAACTGTGGAGGGATAGAAGACTCTAGTGAGTATGACTCTACAGTAACAGAGGTCCCAGGATCTAGGTTACAGGTTTTGGCTCTTTAGGGGATACTGAAAAATTCCCCCTAGCCACAATAGAGGCATATGGGCAGAGGTCACCTGTTTCAGCAAGATTGTCCTTTTGAAGGACATGTTGCATCACATAGTGGAAATCAACTAGGCTCAAGATGAGGCATAGCCTTTCATATATACAAACCCGAGCAGCTGATGCTGAAGAGGGTTGTAGGCAGCCAGAGATGACAACATCACTGTGGGTGGGCAGTGAAATGAAACTGGTTGACCCATGAAGCACTTCAGAAGCAGGATTCTTGTGGAAGAGTCAAGTAACAAATATTGTAGCAGTGATCATATGACCCAATCCCAGAACCAGCTGTTTCTTTGTTAAATTAATGATATTGGTTGTATGTATATGTACATGTATAAATATCCCTATGGGATAGCTGAGATGTCAGTAAAGGGAACCCCATGCAGATATGTAAATGTAGAAATCTAGAAAAAGCGGAAGCACCAGTCAAAACCCCTGCATCTGTGCATAAATTGTATGAATGAATTGCAAAGCTCCAGCACAACAAAATGTATTAAATGGAAAAAGTTGCATATCTATCTCAACTTTTCACATGGCCAAGAAACTCTAGCTGGGCAAAGGCTAAATTTACATGAATATAGCTACATAGTTAATAAGATTTAATAAAGACACCAGTTTATCCAGTTCAACCTGGGTGTTTCTATGTGTTTTATGTCACTAAAAAGCAGCTTTACAAATCACCTTCTCTTCCATGGAGCTCTTTTTGCACATATTAGACGCTGATCAGGTCACTAAAATGCTCTCTAAAAGTAGACTTTTCATTAAAAAATAAACTTACATCATCGATATGCTCCTGTTTTAACTTCTTCCACTACTACAGAACACTATTAAAAAAGTACTCTTGACAAATGCCCTCGCTCAAATTTCCCATGCTTGTATCCGAACAATTTTTTTTTTTACCCTAAACAATTAAAAGGAGCCTGTCACATTAAGGGCAAAGGGACAAGTTCTCTTGCTAAACATTGCCATCCACATACACACACATTGATAATCAACTTTGTCCCACTCCCCAATGCACTGTTCATCTGTCAGAGACTTGAAAGTAGCAGTAACTTCCAGGTATAGGGGAGTATTTGACAAACCCCCTTTTCTCCTAGGAAGCAGTGCTCAGGCTGAAGCCATCAATCACCAGGTCCAAGTGGATTCAGTTTTCTAGCAGGAGAAAAGGGCAGAGGGAAACATGGGAAAAGCAAGTGGGTGAATATTTGGGTTATCAAAAATGAAATATTAACTTTAAAGGAATGGTCAAATGCATATATAAGTATATATTATGGACAGAAAGCTAAAGAAAATACAATATGAAGGTCTCACCGAAAGAAACGTTTCAATATTTTCATGAACGAATGAAGCAATATCTTGCCAATCCAAGATCTCTCCAAACCAACTGTTCTGACGTTGTATCGGCATCTTGTGACCCTTGTTTCTGCTGGAGTATGTCACATTCTAACAAGAGAACATATAACCTTCAATCTCAAAAGAAAGCATTAGAGAACAATGCAAAGATGTGTACTATGGCTTACAGGAGTTGCTGCCAACCAAGAGGGTGAAATGTGACAGTTAAAAGTAGCTAGGAAAAAAAAAAAAAGAAAAAAAATCACATAAGCTGCCCTTACTTATTATTTATATAGCCCCAAAATATTGCTCTGCACTTATATATACATCTGTTCACATTAGTCCTTGCACTCCACAGCAGGTTAGAAATCTCTATCACATTCACAGAAATACAAAGGACTATTTTGGGAGAACGGTAGGAAACCTATGTTTTAGAATAGTGCAAAGAAACATAAAACAAAAACAATAGGTGGAATTCAAACCCAAGGTCCAGGGAAGCAAGGCAGGGGCATCAGCCACCATGCTTCCTCCCTGTATAGGATTATGCAAGTACACTTACATAATGCGGTTTTGGGGATGCATCCCTGTCCAAGCTCTGAGGAAGGGGAAGCGTCAGCTTGCCGATATGGCTAACAGTCTGGACGCTCGTTACCACACTGGTGGATGATTGGAGATTTCTGCCATGCATGTTACTTCTGTCCTTTGTAAGTATTCAATTGGCTGTTTGGTTTCTAAATCAGATGCATTAGGTCTCATGCATACTAAAAAGCTAAAGACTGCTTTAGAAACGCTGGACAATAAAAACGCTAATGTGTTAGAGTGTTTTGCTGGCATTTAGCAGTATTTAGCCTAGTGCGTAAGCTATGTTCTAGTAGCTTCAGCGTTAAGGAGGGACCGCCGTTGTTATGGAGAGGGCCGGGAAGCTGGCTGTCGCGTCCTTAACATAATCATCAGTGGGGTTCCCCGCTGACAGTTGAATGCAAAAAAAAAAACAAACAAAACCCATTGCCAGGGAAAAAAAAAAAAAAAAAAAAAAAAAAAAAAAAAACAAAACGCAGCCTCCTTGGTGACTCTTCTCCACAGCCCTGGCCTGTGGTTGTGGGGGTTATCGAAATCCCCCTTTAACAAGGGTGCCCCCAGATCCCACAACGCCATGTGAATATGGGGTACAATTGTACCCCTACTCATTCACCAGAAAAGTGTAAAATGTAACTAAAGCGTCCCCGAACATTGGCATCAGTTTGGACATCATTGCCAACACTGGTGGTACATCGGAAATTTCTGTCATGCATGGTACTTCTGTCCTTTGTGAGTATTCAATTGGCTATTTGGTTTCTTTTTATAAATCTTGGGTAATGCACTAGGCATTTGCAAACCGTATGTGGTTTTTGGACTGATCATTTAACCTGACTACATGGACAATAATGTTCAAATCGGTTACCTTTTAATGAGTCTGCTGAACTGAGAAATTAACAAGGGTATGGCACAAAGCAGAAATGTGTCCAAAAATTATGTAGTGTGTCATAATTGCAAGCTGGTAGCGCATTTTAACATGTTTGCTGGATACATATGACGATATCTAATATAGAACTATCAGTTGGAAGGTACAACACTGACTTTAACATTTTTATGTATATTTTATGTATGATGTATTTGTTAAAGCTTCAACTGTTTAATAAATTTACAAGAGGAAGCAAAATCCACCTAACCCTAACACATCAGTAGTTTCCTAACAATTTTTTTTTTATTATTATTAATGGAATGCATCCTTTGTAAAACAGTTCCACACAATTAAGAAGTGCCCATGTGAAGCGTGAATTTGGGTTACCCACACAGCTTGTTACAAGATTATCTATGCAACAGAGTCAATCAAGTTTTCTTTGCCCAAACTATATCCTGAAAGAAAAGGACTTGCAATGAAGTATTAGGAATTAAGGCACAATTTTACAAATAGTTTGTAAACACAGTAAAAAGGTATACATCTTACTACTTTAGATACCTTTGTGATCCAGGAATGGTACAGTCTGTCCCAGAGTTCTAGAACTTGTTTTCTCAATTATAGCAGTGTTGTTAACTTTTTCTCCTAGTACCTTGTGTAGCTGCAAGTAAATTCAGACATTAATTTTATATTGCAAATATAGAAAAGTATCAATCTGTCTTTTATTGGCATGTCATTCCACAGTAAATCCAAATCTCAATGTCAATGTTTAACAAGTATAACTGGAGTTTGGAGTTGTAGCTTAAACAGGGCTATGGTCTCCCCATATGACAGCATTGAATGGACCAGCAAACTATAGTGGACTACAGTTTTGAAGGGAAGGGAGTGCCACACAAGCTTAAAATACCTTATTTAGCAACAGACAATGCATTTCTGGGGCTCTACCCCCTTCATCAGGTGTAAAAAAGTAATACAGATTATACAAAAAACTGATTTACACATTATAAAAGACATGATTAAGGAACGCTATGTGCCATCTTGCATGCTTTCATATGTAGCAAACTAACGTGGAATCCAGTCCAGACTTTCCAGGCAACTTTGACAGTGTAGGTTCCGAACCAAATTTTCCTTTCCACTTGTGACCACCAGCAGGTGATATAAAGTGGGACTGGAGCAAGTCTTGGCCTGGGACTCAGGAAGCCATACCTGAGAGAGCTGTGGATATGAAAGTTTGCTTTGTACAAGAAAGGAAAAGGTTTGCAGAACGTTTTGTTTGTGACTGGGAGAAGCCCTTCATCTGTGAAGAGAATTGCTACTCTTTAGCTAGTGCCTGGATGGCAAGGAGTTATTTTAGGTTTTGTTTAATTTGATTGCTATGCAACCTTTTAAAGAAAACAGGCTACAAGTCAGACTTTTAAGAGAACACCTGCAATCTGGATTGCCTTTTTCCCAGGGAAGACGATCCTCACTTGAGCTAACCTCCACAATAAAAAAAAAACAAAAAACAAATGTGTTCCTAACAAGGCAACAAAACAATGCAAAAACAAAGGCTCGGATCACACTAGCCAACTCCAAAGTTGCACGATTTGACTTTGATATGACTTTTACACTCTCTGGCACTGAAGCACCTGACATCTGTGTGTCAGCTTTAAAGTCACTGAAGTCACATCAAAGTAGCACAGGAACTTTTTTTTTTTTTCACAGTCACAGCGAGTTCAGTAGTGTCAACTGGAATGGCTATGAGATACATGACATTTTACAAGTCCTGTGACTTTGGGTTTTTTTTCTTAAGTTGGTTCCCAAGTTGCAGGAGTGTGACCAAATCAAAGACATAAACAAAAAATTATTAAAGCAACACAATAGCACAAAAACAAACCAAAAAAACAAATGCATTCTTGTTAAAGCAACAAGACAACATACACACAAAAAACACTGCAACTGAGAGGTATAAACTCCAGTTCATACAATCCAAAAACAATACTGTATTCTTGCAAATAAGTCCTATTATTAAAGATCCAATATGTAAATGGGCTTCAACTGGAAGGCAAGAACACTGGAGTAGAGGCTGAAAAACGTTAATGGCTAATGATGAGAACAAAGTTTGTATGGCAGAGACAACTTTGAAAGGAGGGGGAAGGGAGAAAGAAAACAGGCAAAAAAACTATGGATCCTGCTGGGAATGGTGGAAACAAAATGGCATGACCTATCAAATCCCATGCGGACTGCTCCTCTGGCTATATCATGTATGTGGTCACTTGCTCCTGTAAATTACAATATGTAGAAACAACCATGCAAATTTTTAGGAATGGGATTAAATACACTACAATATCAAAACTGGACACAAAGACCACAGTTTCCCAGCATTTTACAAGCATGCACAACATAGGCTATGATCTATGTCCACAACCATCAATGAGCAAATACCTCCATGCATTCAGTACAACCAAATCAAGAAACTATGCAAAAGAGAATCCTTTTGGATCTCCCAACTCAATGCTCCTAAACCTGATGGTTTAAATGAAAGCAGAGAAACTCTGTTGAACAAGTTCCACACCTGGAACACTTAGTCAACGTATGCATTCATGTATCCATTCATTCCTTTAATTTTGTTCTTTGCCTCACCCCTAAGTATGGTCTCTCTCACACCTACCACTTCCCTGCCCACAGTAGTGCTGGCATAGCATAGTCTCTGCTCACATGCATTCATTTTTTTTTTTCTTCTTCTCCATCCCCAACCCTCCAAATCTTCCAGCCCTAATGTAGTCTTTTTTTTTCACCTACCACTTCCCTCCACTCAGGTATGCTGCATAGCATAGCCCCTGCTCACATGCACTGGCTGCCCAGACTCCGTCCCCTGTTCAGCCCCATCCTGACGAGGGTTATACCTCTCCATTACTCTATCCAAAAAGGGAAAAAAAAGAAAAAAGGTTTGCATTTAGTTATACTTTAAAGCTGACACACAGATGTCAGGTGCTTTTCCAATCCAGGTGTGTACATCATCTGGGGGAGACAGCTCTGAATCTTCAATTATATCTCCTACTCTAGTCCCACTCCATTCCCTCTTCCAGCTGGGATTTTAACACATTTTGTTTTCACCATTCCCAGCATTTAGTGGTTTCTTTTTCTTATGCATTATTTGTTTTCTTTTTTATTGTTTTTTTACACTTATAAATTGAGCAATGGTGTGTGTTTTTTGGCTGTAATAAGAATACATCAAGGTGTTTGTATGTGTGGACACAAGGAGCTGTAACATGATTTGAGGAATTTTTGTATTTTCTCTATTGTCTAGCTTTTAGCCCAGAGGAAGAAGGAAGGGCTGGCAGTATTGAGCACCGAGCTCTCCCAAAATGCATTGGCTGTTGCAACATAAAATCTTACTAGGTCAAGGACTATACAAACCGGTGTGGCGCATCCATCCTTTCAAAATTTTATTAAACTCCTCTGGGGGTCCAGCAAGATCCCACAGTTACTGATGAACAACCTCTAAAGGACCACCCATTACATTATAATGCTTCTCCAAAAGGTCCAGCTAACACTACCCTTCTCCCAGACAAATAATGCCACTATCTTCTGTGCCCCTATGCTCCTTCATACAGAATGGAGGCACTCTAAGACTGGCCATATGCAAATTGCTTGATCCACTCATCAACAGTGTTGATGGGGGAATCGCTTCTGCTGAGCTATTCCATTGTGACAGCGGGAGGCAATGAACGTACAAAAAAGAAACGACAGGCTGGTAGTACTGAAGTCCATTGATAGATCAACTTCAGTGCAACCAGTCTGCTCATAGATAGAACGAAATTCAGCTGGTTCAGCAAGAATATTGATTTGTCTATGGCCGGCATAATACAGGAGGTGTGTTACTGGCAAGATTATATGGTGAAAATAGAGGGGAAAAAAAAAGAAGCCATCAAATCTAAGGATTGGTAAGCTGCAATATGTTACACGCTTGGTTTTGGATTAATACCACTTTAAAAACATGCATGCCTACCTTATTAGTAATCCATTCTCTGCCATACTGATAAACATTGTTTGCAGCAGAGTTGAGAGCTGTCTGGACAACCTGTGCTTCAGGCAGCCAACTGTATAAACAAAAATGTTAGATAAAATATTTTATCCAGAGTTAAAGGCTAACTGTATACAAAACAGAAAGGAGGACATGAAAAGGTTGATTTTATCAAAGCTGGACATCAAATAAATTAGGATTAAAAGCTAGGTGTACACAAAGAGAACATGTTTTACAATAGAATTTTAAAAGATTGATTTAATCAAAGCTAAAACTCCAAAGTGGGTATAGAAGAGAATCACCCTTGTTAAATAAACAAAAAAATAAACATTTTGTTGCTTTGCAGCCTGAAATGAACAGTTTTAGTTTTATTCAGCTGTGTAAGTGCAACTTATAACATCAAAGTGAAAGATATAACACCAACATGTCAGGAAATATTTACAGCCTTTAGTCTGTTGGGATCTGTCTCTCTACTAACTTTGCACATCTAGACTTTGCAATATTTGCCCACTCTTCTTTTCAGAACTGCTCAAGTTCAGTTAAATTTATGGTGACCATTTGTGGACTGCAGTCTACAAGTCATTCCATAGATTTTCAATGGAACACAAGTCTGGGCTCTGACTAGGCCAGGGGTAGGCAACCTGCGGCTCTCTAGCTGTTGTGGAACTACATTTCCCATGAGACATTGAAAAATTGACAGTTACAGCTATAACTTACAGAGGCATGATGGAACTTGTAGTCCTGCAACAGCTGGAGAGGTTGCCTACCCCAGGACGAGGCCATGCAAGGACTTTCACCTTTTTCTCCTTCAAACACTGCGTGGTAATTTTTGCTGTGTGATTTGGGTCATTGTCATGTTGGAGGGTAAACTTTCTTCCCATTGACAACTTTCTGGAAGAGGACATTATATGTTTCTAAAGAATTTGATGATATTTTGCCCCATCCATTTTTCCTTCTATCCTGAAAAGTGCTCCAGTCCCTGCTGCAGAGAAACTCCCATAACAGGATATAACCATCCCCGTGTTTTCCTATAGGAATGGTGTTATCTGGATGGTGAGCTATATTGGATTTCTGCCAGACATATCTTTTAGCGTTGAGGCCAAATAATTCATTTGTCTGACCATGACACCTTTTTCCATGTTGCCTCAGAATCTTCGCATTTTGGCAAAGCTCAGTCATGATTGTAATTGGCCTTTCTTGAGAAGTTGTTTTCTTGCAACCCTCCCATACAAGCCACATTTGTGGAGAATTTGTTGTCACATGCATACAATGATCACTCTGTCATAAATTCCTGCAACTGCTTCAGAGTTTCTGTAGGCCTCTTGGTAGGCTCTCTGACCAGTTTCCTCCTGGCTCTTTCATCCAGCGTGGAGCGACATCATGATCCAAAGAGGGTCTGTGTTGTACCAAATACTTTCCACTTCTTAATAACAGACTTCATTGTGCTTGTAGGCATTGATAAGCCTTTTGACATTTTTTTGTATCCATCTCCTGACTTGCGCCGGACCACAACTTTATCCTGGAGATCTTTTGACAGTGCCTTGCCACCCAAAGTTGCTTTGGCTGCACTACCAGAGACTGAAATGCTCCAAGATGGAAGGTAATTAGCTACACCTAGTTGAGGTTTTTTTGGGGGTTTTTTTTAGAAGAAATGTGATCCTTTTTCTAACTCAGTGAGTCTGCTTTTGATTTTTTTTTTCCCTCACACGTTGAGGTTACATCTTTCACGTGGATGTCATAAGTTGCACTGAGTAAATATAGCTGGACGAAACAAAAACTGTCTTCATTTCAGGCTGCAAAGCAGCAAAACACTATACTGTATAATACAATAAGGATCAGTAACATATACAATCTTCAGCAGCATCCTCTTTCCTAATATTTCTTTGGCATAGGTACCTTATAGGTAATAAGTAACAGATAGGAGTAAATAACAGTGTGCTGAGTACTTAAAAGATTATATTATAACAGAAGACAAGAATAGAAGATAAGGGAGGGGCATAACATTCTATATTAATATTGGCAACAACAACTGACAGGAAATTACATTAAGGTCCACAATGCCACCCACTTTTCTAATAATGTGTTTAAAACTTATTCACCTTAGGTATTTGTTTAGCAAGATGAGCACTCTGGATAGAAAATAAATGCTTTTCAAAAGACTAACACTGTTCTTGAGCAGTTAATAAGCTGATAATTCAGCCCGTCCCGCAACTGAGATCTCCCATAGCAAATATTCCACTATGCCATTCTGCTGCTCAGTTTCTTGCCTATACAAAAGAACAGCCAAGAGCAGGACTGGAAAGAGACATACCAGCATGGCGTTCAATTCTTTGCAAGCAGAATTTCTGGAACACAGAACCAAGACTTCCCAATCGTATATACAGTATATTATTTAAATGAACGAGTGGTGTCTCATGTGATTTATTAAAAATTGGCTAAACCAAGCAATAAAAGTCTATATAAAAAAAAGCTTAGTGTTCTCACTTTGCCCATTCTGGATGATTGGAGACAGTTTCATTGATCAGATTGCTGGTCACTTCAATAATATGAACACTTTCTTCATGAACCTATATTTGAAAGGAGAGCTTTTTAGGTAAGCTGCCACCATCTAAATAATACTGCAAAAGAAATCCTAAAAGTAAGCCACCCTGCAAAATACATAGTTTTCTTTAAGGGAAAAAGAGGTCCATCACATAAAAGAACAATAGCAATAAAATCAAGTGAGGCAGGTCTATAGGAGTGGCTGGCAAAGCTTTGCCAGTGTCCAATCACCTGCAGGTAGCAGCCTACAACCCAAGTTCTATGAATATCCAGCCTGTGTCCTGCACTGTACAATGTAGATATCTGATTTTACTCAATAGGGAAAAATAAAGTGCTGTGCTCCACTGAAGTAAAACAGTCTTTGTCCTATCCAAAACATGCAGCTGCACCCCCATCCTGAGATTACCTGCCCCTCCCTCTCCTTTGGACGATTTTCATTCTCTACTATTTTGACATTTTGAGAGCAGGAATTTCTATTGCAAAACATTTACATTTTTCTTATACTATATACATCCATTATCATGTCTTCCTCTATATGTGAGAATTCTACATAAGCCCACCTGCATTCACACAATGACTTCTTATACTTTTAGTCTTATTCCAGGAATGTCCATGACCAACCATCCGCTACATATTCACTACATACTACATACAGAATCAAATGCGCAATCACATTCCTGCAAATGAGGCCAAGCCAAACCTATTCAGTACTCCAATATGCTTACTGGGCAAATAAAAACTCAAAATGTACCCATTTGCACCTCCTTTATAATGACGATGGAGGACATTATCTGTAGCAGTGAGAGAATGAGCAATGTTACCAAGGCTGACACCTTCACTCTCTAATCTCACGGTTAGTGAATGGATCGGACCTATCCATGCTATGTCCCCCAAAGCTTTCTAGCAAAAGCTACTGTTGGGTTTCTTCTGATTAGAAATCCTGGCATTCCTTGTTCCAAAAGAAGAGTGCAGCCTAAATCCAGGGCTGGTGTTTAAACTACACACTAGCCCCCACCCCACCCTTTCCACATGTATATTTTTCATATTAGAATGTAAAAAAATGTGCCGTTGGTTCCTGTATGGTAAATATCCTTTCCGTATTAGGATAGTTTAAAAACAATTTTATAGGGAAATCACCAACCATGAATATTATATATATACACACATATATATATATATATATATATATATATATATATATATATATATACACACACACACACACACACACACACACACACATACACACACATACACACACATATATACATATACACACACACATATACACACACACACACACATACATATATGCACATACATACACACAGTATATTATATACAGCAGGTAAAATAAGTATTGAACACATCACCATTTTTCTCAGTAAATATATTTCCAAAAGGTGCTATTGACATTAAATTTTCACCACATGTCCGTAACAACCCATGTAATCCATACATACAAAGAAACTAAAAACAAATACGTTCAGAAATTAAGTTATGTGTAACAAAATGGAATGACAAAAGTAATGAACACACAAATAAATTTATTTAATACTTTGTACAAAATCCTTTATTGGTAATGACAGCTTCAAGACACCTCACGTATGGAGAAACTAGTCACATGCATTGCTCAGGTGAGATTTTAGCCCACAAATCAAATCTTGAATGTTCCATGGGCCTCTTCTATGTTCTCTGATCTTTAGTATTTTCTGTAGATTTGCTATTGGATTCAAGTCAAGGGATTGGCTGGGCCATTCTAGCAGCTTTATTTTCTTTGAAACCAATTGAGAGTTTCCTTTGCTTTGTCTTTGGGTTCATTGTCTTGCTGAAATGTCCACCCTTTTTTCATCTTCATTATCCAGGTAGATGGCAGCAGACTTTTATCAAGAATGTCTTGGTACATATTTCCAGTCACCCTTTCTTCAATGGAATTAAGTTTGCCAGTACGTATGCTGAAAAACAGCCCCACCCCATGATGTTCCCAAACTGTTGGGGTAGTGTGCAGTTCCATTTGACCTCCAAACATGGTTTGTATTATGGTCTCCAAAGAGTTCAACTGTGGTCTCACCTGACCAGACTATATTCTCCCAGGATTTAACAGGCTTATCTAAATGTTGTGCAGCAAACTTCAAATGAGCTTCAACATGCTTTTTCTTCAGCAATGGAGTCTTGCACGGTGAGTGTGCATAGAGGCCATGACAGTTCAATGCATTGCTTATTGTTTTCTTTGAAACAATTGTACCTGTTAATTGCAGGTCTTTCTGAAGCTCTCCACAAGTGATCCTTGGCACTTGGACAACTCATCTAATAATTCTTTTCACTCCTGTCAGTCTGTCTTGTGAGGAGCACCTGGTCGTGGCCGTTTTATGGTGAAATGATGTTCTTTCCACTTCTGGATTATGTCCCCAACAGTGCTAACTAGAACATTCAGAAGTTTAGAAATCCGTCTGTAACCAATGCCATCAGTATGTTATGCAACAATAAGGTTGCAAAGGTCTTGAGAGAGCTCTTTGCTTTAACCCATCATGAGAGGTTTCTTGTGCGGCACCTTGGTAATGAAACACCTTTTATAGGCCATCAGTTGAGAATGAACCTGCTGATATTAATTTGCACAGTAAAGAGGCAGAATTTCTAATTATGGGTGGATTTCAGCTGGTGTCTTGGCTTTCCATGCCTTTTTGCACCTCCCTTTATTCATGTGTTCAATATTTTTTTATTTAAATTTATCAACTTATTTGTTTTGGTTTCTTCATATGTATAGATTGCATGGGTTGTTACCGAAGCATTATATAATCAGATTAAGAACTAGGAAATCATCATTACCAAGTTAATAACTGGGTAGAAATAAATAATAAAATAAAATGACCAAACTGCAAAGCCAAAAAAAATCTAAATTCTGAAAATGTAAAAACACATTATATATGTAAAAACTTTACCTTTGCTGTCAAAAGTAAGGTTAAAAGGAGAGTTCCAATGACGAGCAAAAATATTATAAATATGCTTATTATTTTGTCAAGTGTTTTCTCGAGCCAAATGATCATCTGTAAAAATTAAAATTCATATAAGAGATAGAATGTAATAGATGCATGCTAAAAATAAAAATATTGCATACAGTATAGAAAAGACAAAAACACGCTATAATAAAATTAGTGTTTGCACCCTGCTCATTAAACACGGACATCTTATTTAATTTTTTTCTTTTAGGTGGTCACAGCATATTACTTATTGCAGAGCAACTACAATTAGTGTATTAGAAGTTAAGCTGCAATCACTGTTATTTACAATGGAAAAAAAGCAACAATTATTTTATGATCATTAAATATGAATATAATCTGTTATCTCTATATCTGCACAGGTGTGTTTCAAGGGGAACAGACCTCCAGATAAGCCTATCAATGTCACTCCATCAATCCCCAAAGTTGATCCTTAAAAAACACACACACACACACACACACACACACACACAAAACCCCAGTGATCTGCCATCTTGACACTCGGACCAATAACACATGCATACAGTATGCTCTATGTTGGCCCTTCTGTCAAATAGGAAATATGCAAAACTGGTAATTTATAAGAGCAAATAAAATTCCTGTTTGGTTATCTGAAAGACCAGAGTGGGGGTGCTCTAACATAGAAGGTGTGTTACTGGCCAGATCACCAGGTAAAAAAACAGAAGGAAAAAAACGCAACTTTAAAAAAAAAAAAAAAAACCGGAAGGAAAAAAACGGGGGAAAAAATGAATGCAACCACCACATCTAAAGATTGGTAACCTGCAAAATATAAAATTTTGGCTTTGTTTTTTTTTTTTTTTTTATAATCCGACCTTATTAAAGTTTTAAGGCAGTACAAGAAGAAACAATAAGAGTAGTAAACAGCACATTCCAAGTACAGTTAGGTCCATATATATTTGGACACAGGCACAATTTTTGTTTTTTTCAGGTATTGACCAAAACATATAGTTATATAATGGATATGGGCTAAAAGTGCACACTCAGGTTTAATTTGAAGGTACAGTTGTGTCCAAAATTATTCAACCCCCACTGAAATTGAGTGTTTTGGCCAGTTTGACATTGCTTTTGATCATTCAGTCATCTTGCTTACATTTACATTAAAGAGGCACTTGTAGGTCAGACAAATATAACATAACAGTTATAATGAAATAACCACAAATGTCTTTTCTGTGCTCACAGCATTATCAGTTTTATTCAACCCCCAAGTGACATTCAATCTTAGTACTTAGTACAGCATCCTTTTACAGTTATAACAGCTTTTAAACGTGAAGCATAGCTTGACACAAGTGTCTTGCAGCGATCTACGGGTATCTTCGCCCATTCTTCATGGGCAAAGGCCTCCAGTTCAGTCACATTCTTAGGCTTGCGCACTGCAACTGCTTTCTTTAAGTCCCACCAGAGGTTCTCAATCGGATTTAAGTCTGGTGACTGCGATCCACACTCAAAATGTTCCAGCCTTTCCTCTGCAACCATGCTCTAGTGGACTTGGAGGTATGCTTGGGATCATTGTCCTGTTGAAAGGTCCAACGTCTCCCAAGCCTCAGGTGTGTGACGGACTGCATCACGTTTCCATCCAATATCTCCTGGTACTGAAGAGAATTCATGGTACCTTGCACACGCTGAAGCTTCCCTGTACCTGCAGAAGCAAAACAGCCCCAAAGCATGATTGACCCTCCACCATGCTTCACAGTAGGCAAGGTGTTCTTTTCATCATAGGCCTTGTTCCTCCTCCAAACATAGCGTTGATCCATGGGCCCAAACAGTTCTAATTTTGTTTCATCAGTCCACAGAACACTATCCCACAACTTTTTGTGGTTTGTCCACATGGCTTTTGGCATACTGCAGTCGACTCTTCTTATTCTTTGGAGACAGCAAGGGGGTACGCCTGGGAGTTCTGGCACGGAGGCCTTCATTACGCAGTGTGCGTCTTATTGTCTGGGCTGAAACTTCTGTACCCACATCTGACAAATCTTTTCTCAGTTCCTCAGCAGTCACACGGGGACTTCTCTCCACTCTACGCTTCAGGTAGCGCACAGCAGTCGAAGTCAGCATCTTCTTTCTGCCACGACCACCAGGTAGCGTTTCAACAGTGCCCCTTTGCCTTGAATTTGCGAATGATGCTTCCTAAGGTGTCTCTTGGTATGTTTAACATCTTTGCAATCTTCTTATAGCCATTGCCCTTCCTGTGAAGAGAAATCACCTCTTCTCTTGTCTTCCTGGACCATTCTCTTGCCTTCACCATGTTTGTAACCACACCAGTAAATGTCTAGAAGGAGCTGAGTATCACAGTCATTTTAAAGCTGCCTAATTGGTGCTTATTATGCTTGATTGCTGCTCGGTGACATCCACAGGTGTTTTCAATACCTGATGGAAAGCACCTGTATGAACCTCTGTTCTTCAGAGTGGTAGTCTTTAAGGGGTTGAATAATTGTGGCAATGAAGAAACCACATAAGAACCATTTACTACTGTATTACATAAACAATTGATGTCATTTTAGTTGCATTTGGGTAGTTACAACGTCCTTGTAGGATTTGATTCTGAATACAATTCCAAATGTACACTATAGTCCCTAAACCCCTTTACAGCATTGGGGGTTGAATAATTTTGGCCACAACTGTATGTACATCCAAATTGGAAGAAGAGTTTCGGAATTACAGCTCTCAAGAGTAGCCATCCCCCCTTTTTCAAGGGACCAAAAGTAAGTGGACAATTGAATATAAAAATAAATAAAATGTTAATTTGTAATATTTTGAGAATCATTTACTGCCAATGACTTTCTGAAGTCTGGAACCCATGGACATTACCAAAGACTGGGTTTCCTCCTGATTGTTTGCCAGGCTCTAACTGCAGCTGTCTTCAGTTCTTTGTTTGTGGGTCTCTCTGCTTTTTAGTTTTGCCTTCAGCAAGTGAAATGCATGCTCAATTGGGTTGAGATCAGGCGATTGACTCGGCCACTGCAGAATATTCCACTTATTTTCCTTCAAAAGCTCCTGGGTTGCTTTTGCAGTGTGTCTTGGATCATTGTCCATCTGTACTGTGAATTGCCGTCCAACTTTGCTGCATTTGGCTGAATCTGGGCTGACAGTATATCTCTAAACACTGCAGAATTCATCCGGCTGCTTCTGTCACATCATTAATAAACACCAATGACCCAGTGCCACTGGAAGCCATGCATGCCCATGCCCTCACACTGCATCCACCATGTTTTACAGATGACGTTGTGTGCTTTGAATCACAAGCTGTTCCAAGCTTTCTCTACACTTTTTTCTTCCCGTCATTCTGGTACAGATTAACCTTAGTTTCATCTATCCCAAGAATGCTTTTCCAGAACTGGTCTGGCTTTTTTAGATGTTTTCTGGCTTTTCTATTCTCCTAGCTTATGAATGGTTTGCACCTTGTGGTTAACCCTCCGTATTTGCTCTCGTGAAGTCTTCTCTTGATTGTAGACTTTGACAATGATACACCCACCTCCTGGAGAATGTCCTTCACTTGTCTGGATGTTGTGAATGGGTTATCCTTTACCATAGAGAGGATCCTGCGATCATCCACCATTGTTGTCTTCTGTGGACGTCCATGCATTTTTATGTTGCTGAGCTCACTAGTGCGTTGTTTCCTCAGAATGTACCAAACTGTTGATTTGGCCACTCCTAATGTTGCTGTAATCTCTCTGATGGATTTGTTTTGTTTTTGAAGCCTTACAATGGCCTGTTTCACTTGCATGGACAACTCCTTTGAACAAATGATGTAGGTTCACAGCAAGAGATTCCAAATGTAAATACCACACTTAGAATCAACTCCAGACTTTTTATCTGCTTAATTGATGAAGAAATAACAAAGGAGTAGCCCACACCTGGCCCTGAAACAGCTTTTGATTCAATTGTCCAATTACTTTTGGTCCCTTGAAAAAGGGGGGATGGCTACTCTTAAGAGCTGTAATTCATAAACCCTTCCTCCAGTTTGGATGTACATACCCTCAAATTAAACCTGAGTGTGCGCACTTTCAGCCCATATCCATTATAGAACCATAGCTTGAATATGTTTTGGTCAATACCTGAAAAAAAAAAAAAAAAATAAAAAATTGTGCCCGGTGTCCAAATATATATGGACCCAACTGTACATACAATGTACATCAGTACATACAAATACAAAATGGTAGATGCAAGATAAGCAAATTCCAAGCATAATCAGGGCAGTAGATAATAGGTCGGAGTCTACCCACACCCCCGACATGGGCCAAATCGGGCGTATGTGGGTCCAAGAGATGAAGCATGAGTGCATTAAAATCTAAAGAGAGATAGGCCGTACAAAGTGTGTATAAATCATAGAACACACTACACTACATTTTGGCTTTGGGTTTAATACTGCTTTAAAGCAGTAGTAAACCAAAGCTTGCAAAAAAAAAAACAAAAAAAAAAAAAAACAAATTCCCTGCAAGGTAATGTCACAATGTGCTAATATGCATAACATACTAGCACAATATTAAGGACTGTAGGACCAAAGCTCATGAGTATGCCATTTCTTCAAAGCGCATGCGCCAGCTGTAAAAAAAAAAAAAAAAAAAAAAAAGCAAATATCTCCAAAACGTGCACCGTTTAGGAGATATTAATTTTACATACAGGTAAGCTTTATTATAAGCTAACCTGTAGGTAAAAGATACAGATGTGCGTTTACTTTCACTTTAAGTTAATAAATGTCTGCCCAATACTTGGTTGGAAGAGTATGCAATCAAATCTGAACACCTATTATGCTTTGTTTTTTCTCTCTATGTACAGTTCCTATAACGTTTTAACCCACTTAGAAGTTTGCACATTTTAGAACAGATAAAATGATCTGAGCCAATGAAGAGGGACACAGCCCTAGAGTCACTGCTCCCTGTACTGGATCGCGACTGGGCTCAGGTAAATATAAGGGGGAAGTTGGGGGAACTTCAGCCTTTACAACCACTTTAAAAACGCACATTACAATCTCATACATCTCGGTACATCACATTTACAATTCTCAACAATTATTCATTAAGAAGGGCTAT